TAAGCCATACATTGAGAAACCTGGCTCCCAACAACTGTAACTCAAATGTAAGTCATAGATTTCGAGTAGAAGAGGCTCCTACACACCAGATACAACTTTAGAACGTCCCAGCTCTCATTTAATAAGCAGTTGAAGTTTTTCTCTCTAGTTTCCAGCCTGTAGCAATATTAGTATCAAATGATAGAATCAAGTACAGTGAGAACAAAAGTGACAGCTTCCAGTGAATGATTAAAAAAGCTAAAAATAGACCACAAAGTACAATAAAAAATATTTTTTAAAAATATTTTATTTATTATTTATTTGACAGAGATCACAAGTAGGCAGAGAGGCAGGCAGAAAGAGAGGAAGGGAAGCAGGCTCCCTGCTGAGCAGAGAGCCCAATTGGGGGCTCGATTCCAGAAACCTGGGATCATGACCTGAGCTGAATGAAGGCAGAGGCTTTTAACCCACTGGGCCACCCAGGCACCCCAATAAAAAATATTTTTAGTAATAGTCTGTGTTCTTCTAACTTATTCATATGTTCCAGGTACTTGGTTTGATAAAACAACAAATACAAAGTAGGTTTTTAGATTTCATCTGGGCACTTGGGAGAAGATAACCTTTACTGACCCGGGTCATTCATGTATATGTAGTGGCTCCTTCCCCAGCAGCGTGGTATAAATGGTGGAATATTAGATCTGATATGCTGTCTTGAATTTTTAGAATTTTTCTAAATGTAACTGCCTGGGTTTTATGAGATAGTGATGTTGGAAATACTAAGTTGAATATTTTAATTTATATTAATTGAATATTTTCATTTTTAAAAAGTATAGCTATAATAGTACATATAATACATATGTACATATAAAAAGCACATATAATGTTTTAATCTATATTGTTTCTTCTCTACATAGTTTTGCCCTATTTCATGATTTGATTTGTCCCTGAGGGTAAAGATGGTCCAGAGGTTGGACCAAACAAAATAGCCATAGAACTCAATTTGAGTGTCATTGCAGTCATTCTACTTAAAACCGTCTTACTTTTTCCTGGGTAGAAGTCTCAATCCTGACCAAGTGTGTTACTCTTTAAACCTACTCATTTACTAATTTAACAACTTTCATTAAGTTAAAATAGTATGCTTAGCTAGGTATTGACCTATTTTTTTTATTCTCTTTTAGAATGACCTGTCTCAGTTACAGTTGTTAATACAGAAGTGGAGAAGCTGTAGCCAGCTGTTGCTTTATGAGTTGCAGTCAGCCATGTCTACGGAGAACAGGAAACTCAGCCTTACTCAGTTGATAGACCACTATGGGTTAGAGGATAAGTTGCTACACTATAACAGAAATGAAGAAGAATTTATGGATGTTTAATTCATAATTATTTCCCCAGAATATTTTTGAGAATGATAAGTTAAAAGATACTTAATACATTTTAAAAGGAAGGTAGAAACCATTATGTAAATATAAAATAAGATCTAAAATGAAAATTTAGTAGTCTGGTTAAATTTGCCAAAGAAAACTTCATATTTAAAGAAATGTGAAAAAAAATTAAATCATGTTTAAAAAATAGTTTGGTCATTTCTGTAAGTCAATTTTAATATATTGTTTATTGTGGTAAAGTTCTTTTTTTTTTTTAAGGTTTTATTTTAAATGTTAAAAAATTGTTCAGTCTGGTGAATGTCTAAACCTATAGTGGTCTAAAAATGCCTGTCTCCTAAGTTTATGGACCGTGTTTCTATCCATTTACCACATACTTCCATCTGGATGGTGTAGCAGGTAATTAAACTTGTCCATATGTCATTTTATTCTTCCCTGTCTTTTCAAATTTGTTTATTCTTCATCTCATTTAGTGAAATGACCATCTACCTCATAAAAACAACATATCCTCATCGCCCCCCTTCAAGGCATACAAGGTCCTTCACATTTATCTACCTTTCTAGTTTCATCCATTCAGTTCATGGTGACTCCTCAGCTAGAAAGCCACCTTCATAAGGCTGTGTTTCTGGCTGCTATATTGTACAACGTTACCTCTCCTTGTGGTTGTGTACAGAAATATGACCCAGGTTGGCCCCGTCTGAGAATTGAATTGTGCTCAGGAAAAGAAACCCCATCTCTTTTTGTGGCTAAAGCTATTGTAGGCAAATTTGGAAGCACAAAAGCTGGTGTGCTAAGAAGGATAGTATGTGCCCTTATTAAGAAAGGCAAAGATTTTAGATGGAGAGAGAACTTGGTGGATCAGTGGCTTCCTGGTTCTATCCTCCAGTCCTTCCTGAGGGCCTTCTGGATTTCTGCTTTTGGGTCCTGTTAAAGGCCAAAACAGCTTTACTTAAAAAAATCCTGAAAGAAAGTACTTCTCTACTAGTAGATAAAGAGCCACTACCCTGAAGCCCCTCCTCCAAGCATACCCTGTTTTTGGCCCAGTCCCACCCCATGATCTAACAAATCAATATTTGACCTAGCAGGAGACATTAAGATGGCTGCTTTTGCATCCATTCTAATTGTTAGTATTCATGCTGGTACTACCCTTCCCCCTTGCCAAACACTCCCCTCTTACCATACACAAATTCCTACCTTCTAGACACTGGTATTGTCATTAGCTGCCATGAACCCAAGAGGACTGACCCTGAGATTTCTAGATGGGTATCCCTAGGAAGCTGTGCTGTTGGGAGCCTAGCAGCCTCCATTGCTGCTTGCTGCACAGCTGGGAGGTGTAAGTGTGGCATGGGAAGTGGTTTCCCTCGTGATGGTGCTGGTATTCGGTTGCAGCTACTTATTGTTGATTAGCACATCCCCTGGAGTCACCCTCACATGTCCACTTGGAGGAACTATAGCATCAGTAGGACTCTAGTTCTGGGAGAGTTGGGGATAGCAGTTGGGGACATAGTAATGGACATTTCCAAATCACTGACTGGGTGCTAAGGGCTCTAGCAGCACAGTGGACACTCCTGCAACAGGAGATGGTTCATGGAACATGGATCAGGCTTGCGGGAAAGTTTAATGCCCAAGATGCCCATGAGGCAGGACCCTTTTTTATAATTTCTGTTGAATTTCACCTCTATTTAATGGGATGCATTTGTTTTAAAAATAACTGGATACTATATTTTTATTTACAAAAATGAAGACTACCACTTAACACATGCTTTGTGCCAGTTTACAAATTATGTTAACTCATTTGAGTATTAAAATTATTGGCATCCCAATTTTAAAGATGAGAAAATTTAAGATAGTTATTTAATAACTAAATAGTTATTTGAAGCTCAAGTGGCAGAGCTAGGATTTGAAACTAGGCAACCCAGCAAGAGAGCCCTACTAAGAACCATGCTATATTTGACCCAGTTAATTATCTTACTATTTAATACAATTTAAAGAACTATAAAAATACAATTGCTGTTAGTTCGGCAGAAGCTGAGAGGAATCAGTACCATGGACAGTATCAAGAGTGAGTTGGTGTGGATGACCCATGTGCCCTTCCAAAGCCAACCCCCCAAACCAGAAGATGTCTTCTGTTGAAAAGTGCTGCTAGTAGAATATAGCTTGCAGACAAGAGATTTCTGCTAACCTCCACTCTATCCATGTCTCAAAGCAAAAAGCTTGAATTGTCAGAGTCACCCAGGGTAGCCACTAAGAAATAGAAATTACATATTTCTGTATGTATTCTGCTGTTAATAGGGTGGTGGGGTTATGGACATTGGGGAGGGTGTGTACTATGGTGAGTGCTGTGAAGTGTGTAAACCTGGCGATTCATAGACCTGTACCCTGGGGCCAATAATACATTATATGTTTATTAAAAAGTTAAAAAAAAATTACACAGGCTGTTAAGATCTAGGAATCCACGGTGAAATTTGTGGCGTTGACTATTAGCAAATGGAGCCTAATAAGGCAACCAATCCTGGTCATCTGGAATTTAAATCACCAGAAAAAACGGAGAGGAAAAAAACACCTAGCAGAATCTTGATTGACTCAAACCAGCAGGACAGAGAACTTTGATGATCTCATCCTAAGTACAAAGTGTTTGTACTCTTCACACACTTAACCCTTGGGTCCAGGCTCCCACCCCCACAATCACCTTCTCAAAGATAATTTTGAAGGATCCAAGATGTAGAGAGTGTTACCAGTGGGCACTTGTCTGCTGAATCAGCCAAATCGACTACTTGAGGAGTCATTCTGGTACTAAGGAGGGCCATCAAAAGTGATGTTGGGCCTATCACTTCTCTTAAATTCCCATCCAGCATTTATCAGTATATGGGGGATCAATTATGGTACTACCTGAGCAGTCTCTAGAATATTTTAAATCTCTTAAAGATTTTTTTTTTCCTAAATAGAAGCTTATTATAATAGCTCTCTTGCTTTACCTACACCGATGCGCACTGAATATGCTGTTGCAGATTACACTTAACATTTAATTCACAAATTTCAGAAGAATGAGACCATGACATGTGAAAAGATTGTGAGGACTGGTCAATGAACCTGATGGTATCATCTTGGAATGTAGCAGTTCACAGGCTATGGAAAGGGGAAGCAGTTTTCTGAGCACTTAATCTTTTCATTGTTTAATTATCATCATGTATTACAAAGAATATGCAATGTAGAAGACTATGTTATGTTTATGCAGAAAAAATATGTTGTACTTTTCAAATGATTTAAGGCTTGGTAAAAGGAAATGGTTCACTTTGTTCTCATTGCTAGAATTGGGAATAAGTGTTCGGAGAAATGTCCTAAATGTTCTGAGAAATTTTTTCTGATTATATTTTTTCTGCTGAAGAAAACTTAAGAAATATAGAAAAAAATATAAAAATCATCCATTAACTCTTAAGTTTTCTGGTAATTTTATAAAATTAGAAATGCCAGGAGTAGTGAAGAATTTTTTGTCTTTATGACAAAAACTAAGACTAAATGAGTAAGAGAGTAAAATACATCTTGAATATTTTCAGTCAATTCCTGAATGAAAACAATTCATGATATTTTACACATTCATGCAAGACACATTTTTATAATGATTAAGGTTAAAATTAAATAATTTGATATTAAAAATATGCAACTAAGAAGCAGCTCTACTTAAATTTCCTGATATGGGAGAAAAAGAAATCATTTTAATAAAATGAAATTATTTTTTAAATGACTGATTGCCTTGTGTTTCCCACCAGCATTTTTATATTTGAACAAGAGCAGGAAATGTTTTCATCCTTAATCGTTCAACTTCAGCCTGCAGTATTGAAATCTGTTCAGCTTGTTGTTTTGCAATTTTTGTTAGCTTTTGGTGTTGCATCATGTTTTCATATCGTTCTTTGGCAATCTTTTCACAAGTCAGTTTAGACCCTACCCCAAAAATGAAAAAGGAAAGAATTAGTTGGATTATCATCTATACTTTCAAATACAGAAATAGAATTCAGAATCAATTAAATATTTGGAAGAAATGCTGGTAGCTTTATAACTACTAACGAGATTTCAGGAATACTGATTACTATTTTTTTTATAATTTTTTTAAAATTATTTTATGTTAGTCACCAAAGAGACCTACAGTTGAGTAAAGAAAAAATATTCTTACCTATTGCATTACAGATGTCTTTTCTCTCTGAGAGAGCCACCAATTCTTCTCGTAAATTGCAGCTTAGAGTATAATTTGCTACATCTTTTTGATTGCTGTACCTTCCCAGTTTTTTTAGTAGTTTTTTGCAATTTTCCACATTCTTTTTGTGGGTCTGAGATTTTGTTCCCATGACACCCCGCAAAAATAATTAAAAAAAAAGTATTTTTACAAAGACAATATTTTTTTAATTTAAATTCATTATCATCAAGATATCATCTTATCCCCATATCCCTATTGCCTAACATAATGCCTGAACATAGTAGTTAACTAAATTGTTCAAAGATAGAATGGTATTTTAATATGACATTTTAGAAAAAATCTTGTATATTCTTAAAAATGAGAGATTAAAAAAATACAAAGCCTTGAGATTACTTTGTTTCCATCTTATATATGTTATACAAGCTAAACTGAGCATTTCTTTTTTTTTTTTAAACTGAGCATTTCTTAAGCAGTAATGAAAAAACAAAGGCTTTACAAAGCCAAAGAAAGACTATCAACACTTCTGTTACATAAATCACAACTTAATGTAAAATTAGAAATTCATGTACACTCAGATATCTCCCAAGGGATTAATTCTAATAGTAAAAGAAGTACTTCAGTCTACCATACTTGTTATGGTTGCAAAGATACTATTCCAGGACTTCTAATTAGATCCTGAATGTCAATAATGGACCACGGTTTTATTAGGTTCTGTCTGAATTCATGACTTGGAATACTATTACTTTGTTCAAATAATTCACAACTGTTGGGATTATAATGAACAATATCTTTGAGACCTACCTTCTCTAAAACAGCAATGGTTTGCTCCATTATTCCAATCTGAATGGCAATCAGAGTCTCATAGTTTGGTTCATTTAGGTACTTGGAGAAGAAAAAGACCCCACAAAATATGTAAGGTATTTTATTCTTTCAATAGATAACTTTATAAAACATTCTTAGTTTTCAAAGTTACCATTATCATAAAAATTATCTAAGATTGATTTGACTTTCATGCCATAATGTTTACTTGTATTTAGCTATTGATACACTCACTTGTATTTTAATAATCACAAATGCCTTGAGTTTATTTTCTCATTTATTCAACTCCCCAAATATTTATTAAGTGTCTCATTTGAGCCCTATATTAATACTGTTCCAGTTAAAGATACTAAGGGAGAAACAAAGATAGATAACATGACTTTAGCTTTCAAAAAAAAAAGCATGTAGATATGATTAGTTGCCAGAAAATATGTAAAATGACATGCAAATTCAAAGGTGGTTTGGAAAAGGATGCGGTTTTTCTGGACTAGGAAAATCCAGAGGCTTTTAGAGCAGGTGGCATTTAAACTAGACCTTTAAAAATAGACTTGGGATGTGAAAAATGTGAGGAAAGATTTCAGATTGAAGAACCAGTAATGAGCAAAGGCACAGTGGTAAAATCTGAGAAAATATTAATCAGTTTGTTTTGAGAATACTAATGTGAGGAACAATGGGAATGAATTTGAAAAGTTAGTTGAAGGATGCAGATCACCCACCTAAAAATTTCATAATTCATTTGCTAGTTAAGAGGTTGCAGTTTAAAATGTTTGAGCTGAGTAGTAAGGTTATCAGGGCTGAACATCAATATTGATCTGAAGGCAACATATAGTATAGATAAGTAAGAGTCCAAAGGTCAAGAGACCAGATAAGAGATTTTTTTTTTTGGTAAAAGTTTATTTTTTTTTAGTAATCTCTACACCCAGCTTGGGGCTTGAACTTATGACCCTGAGATCAAGAGCTGCATGTTATTCCAACTAAGCCAGCCAGGTGCCTGCAGCTGGATTATTATACAATAGTCTAAATCATGGAAAAGAAAAACTGAGCCAGGCTAATGGCAGTGGGGTCAAAGAATGAGGGAATAAGCAGATAAACTAGGCAAGACTTGGAAGATGGGAGAGGGGAATCAAAGATGACTACAACTATAAGCTTGAGTAAGGGGTTGAAAAGAACAGAAATAAGCACATTAAGAAAGGTTGGTGTTGGGAAGAGGGAATGTAGAAATAGAGCTTGAGGGAGATCAGGAACAGAGAATTTGGATCTGTCTTTTAGAAGTGATCACTGAAGTTAGAAAAATTGATATCATTAAAGGAGAAGGCATGGAAGGAAACAGAGCAAAAGGCAGGATCATAAAGGATAGTTATATTTAAGAGTTAGGGGGCACCAGGGTGGCATAGTCAGTTGAACATCTGACTCTTGGTTTCCGCTCAGGTAGTGATCTCTGGGTTGTGAGATTAAGCCCCAAGTGGGGCTCCCCACTCAGCGCAGGGTCTGCTTGAGATTCTCTGTCCCTCTTCCCCTCCCACTTGTCCCCTCTCTCTCTCTTAAATAAATAAATAACTCTTTAAAAAGGGGTGGGGATTTAGAAGCAAAAGAAAATTAAGTAAAAGAGGCAGAGTGGCCTGACACATTAGAAGAAAAATAGCAGAAAACAGGATTGATAAAAGTCAGAGAGTTGAGCAAATTAAGGTGGTCAAATGCTACCAAGAGTTGAGGGATGGTGATGACTGGGGGTCAGACCACTAGATTTGACAATTAGGAAATCCTCAGAAGACAATTTGTAGACACTACAAAAACTACTGGCTTATAATGTGCTTGATACTGCAGAAGCATCTTATTAAACACTGTTTGAATGAAAGAAAACATTAATGAATGAAATTAAAATTATATAGTGAGGCAGGGAGAACTCACCTTTTGACGATCTCTTGAAAAAAACAGCATCTGAATATCCCAAGCCTTCTGATTTAGATCTTCCATTTCCATCTCCATTTTCCTATGTTCCCACTCAATTTGAAATATTCCTTTGTGGACATCTTTACTTTCCATCATGCTAGCAACTTTCTTTTGTCCTTGAGTCTTGAAAAAAAAAGTACATTTTGATATTCATAGGACTCTGCACAGAATACAGAATATCTGAAGCTGAATGCTCTTCTCAGGAAAACTTGGATCACGGAGGTAATTCTATCTTTTTAAAAAATTATTATTATTATTATTATTATTATTATTTTATTATTTATTTATTTATTATTTAGAGGAGAAGGAGTACATGCATGAGTAGAGGGGAGCAGAGGGAGAAGGACAGTACCTTAAGCAGGCTTCATGGCCAGCATGGAGCCCCACTCAAAGCTGGATTTCACGACCCTGAGCTGAAATGATGAATCAGCCTGATCACCTAGGCGCCCCTTCTTTTTAAAAGTGTAGCAGATTTTAAAAAATTACTGATCACTAAGAAGCTGATAGGCCAAAACAGAAAGGATTATAAAATACATCTGAATAGATAGGCCAAAACAGAAAGGATTATAAAATACATCTGAATAGCATAGCCAATTTACTTTATATGTCAATAATTAGGCAGAAACTCTTTTTGCCATCACCAATCTACCAGTCTGTATGTGTTTATACCGCTACTGTCTACCCTGCCTTTCTGACAGTATAGACAAAGGGCTGTAGTTTAATGCAGCTAGGCACAACAGTATCTGGTTGGTAGCTAGTGGAAAAGCAAAAAAATTTAAAAAATAAAATTGAGTGGATTAAATATATTTAAACACCCAGATTTTTGCACTTCACTTCAAATTGCCTACATGAAGTTCAGGAATATTTTCATGAAGTTCTCCCAGATTGCTATTAGTGAAACTCTTATGTCTCTAAAATAAATCTTATGAGTTCCGTCAGTTAACATTTTATATCTTTCTTCTTCAAAAACTTAGCTTTTTGAAGTTCATGACATTATATTATACCATACCACCTGTTACTCTTTTTAAAAATTATTTCCATCTTCTGATCACTGCTGAGCCTCTCAATTCCTTGAATTACTCACTTTCAATGATATCCATCTCACTTAGACACCCAAATCCCACAATTATACCCTTGGGGGATCTTGTTTATATAACAACTCCAACATCCTAAGTTCAAGCATTTCTCTAGGGTAGTGTTTCTCAAATGTTGGAGATACTGCCCTACCATAGGAAATTAAGATTATGTTTGCAGAAATTTTTGGTTGACATAATTGGACATAATATTGGAGGGAGGTGTTGCTACTGGCATCTAGAGGGTAGATGCCAGGGATGGTACTAAACTTTATGCAATACACAGGACATCTCTCCACAACAAATAATCATCTGACCCAAAATGTCAGCAGCGCCAAGGTTAGAAAATACTGCTGTAGAGCTACCACATCTCCTTTCTGTTCTCCTTTCAGTCAACTTTTTTTCCTAAGATTTATTTATAGTCACCATCTCTACAACCTCACTTCATATTATTTCTTCAACCATAGCCAACTGACCTGCCCCAACTTTCCACTGAGACTGCTCTTTTCAAGTAACTGACGTAGTGCATGAGTTCATTGTCCTTGGAGCCATTTCTCTCATAGTTTTCAGGTTTCCTCCTTCATTGGCAACTCCTTCTCAGTTTTATTACTTGACTCCTTCTTTGCTAGACCTATCAGAGTTGGACTTTGGACATTGGCCAAAGTCCCATTCCTACCTGGTCTCAAGCATGTTCATGGCTTAAATTATCCATATGTAAATATCTCTATGTAATAATTCATATGTAGTTATCTGTATGTGATCTGTATCTAGAATACTTCTAAATTTATATCTCAGCTCAAAATTCTGTCCAGTTGATATTTCCACTGGAATGGCTTTGTAAAAAATTTATTTATTACTTGAAAGAGAGGGAAAGAGAGAAAGAGAGAGCATGCATGGGAGTGGGGAGGGGCAAAGTGAAAGGGAAAAAGAGAATCTCCAGCAGACTCCTCACTGAGCAAGGAGCCAGATGTGGGGCTTGATCCCATGACCCTGAGATCATGACCTGAGCTGAAATCAAGAGCTCAAGTTACCCAGGTGCCCCTCCATTAGAATGTTTTACATGCATCTCAAATTTAACAAAGCCTAAAACTCTTTATGTCTCAGCCAATGCTATGTACCCATAGTTGTTCTTATGTCAGTTAATGACACTATCATCTATTCAGTTGCTCAAAAGCCAACATTTTAAAATTTATTATTGATCCTTCTCTTTATTATTCACATTGAATCCATCAGCATTTTTGATAATGATTTTTGCATTTACACTAACTACAAAATATGAAGGAGAATTTAAGATACTCTGAGAAAATAAAGCTAATGGAATTCCTCATTTGTAGACCTGCTGTATCAGAAATGCTAAAGGGAGTCCTTCAACCTGAAATCAAAAGGCACTAGACAGTAACTCAAAGTCATAAGAAGAAATGTTTTAAAAAAGCTAAATTTAAAATGCAACTATACAGGTAGATGTAAAAGTCAGTATTATTGTATTCTTTGTTTGTAAGTACTCCTTTTTCCTCTATGATATAAAAGAAAAATGCACCAAACAGTAATAATAAATCTATGTTAATGGACATATAATGCATACAGATATAATTTGTGACAATAACAACAGAAAAGGGGAGGGACAGAATTGTACTGGAGTAGAGTCTTATATACTAGTGAAACTAAGTTGGTGCTTATTTGAATTAGTTTGTCATGAAACTAAGATGTGGGGGCACCTGGGTGCTCATCGGCTCGGGTCATGATCTCAGGGTCCTGGGATCGAGCCCCACATCAGGCTCTGGAGGAGCCTGCTTCCCCCTCTCTCTCTGCCTGCTGCTCGGCCTACTTGTGATCTCTCTCTGTCAAATAAATAAATAAAATCTTTAAAAAAAAAATAGAACTAAGATGTGAATTGTAATTCCCATAGTAGCCACTAAGAAAACAACTACAATGTATATAGAAAAGTAAAAGACAAGGGGATCAAAATGGTACTCTGCAAAAAATATCAACTATATATAAAATAAGACAATAATGGAGGGCTTGAGGAACCAGAAAATGATAGAAAACAAATAACAAAATAGTAAAGTCCTTTTTTTTTTTTTTACTAGCAATTACTTTAAATGTAAATGGATTAAACTCTATAAGTAAAAGGCAGAGATAGGCACAATGGGTTAAAAAAATGATCCAATGATATTCTGTCTAGAAGAGATTCACTTTAGATTCAGTGAAACAAATAACTTGAAAATGAAAGGATGGAAAGATACCATCTGTGCAAATTGTAATCAAAGGATAACTGGGGTGGCTATACTAATACCACACAAGCACATTATTTGCTGATCTTCAAGAAGATATAGCAATTATAAGCACATATGCACTAAAAACAGAGCCCCCAAATATATGAAGCAAAAACCAATAGAATTGAAGGAGAAATGGTTGCATAATAATAACAACGGAGATTTCCATCCCACTTTCAATAATGAATAGAACAAGTATACAGAATATCAATAAGGAAATAAAGGATTTAAACAAAATTATAAACTAATTAGACCTAAAAGACATAGATAGAACAGACACACAATAATAGCAGAATACACATTCTTTGCAATTGCAAATGGAACATTCTCAAGTATAGACCATATGTTAGGTCATAAAATGAATCCTAATAAATTTTAGAAGATTGAAATCATATAAAACATTTGTTGTGACCACAAGGTAATAGAACTAGAAATCAATAACAGAAAGAAAAGAGGAATGTTCACAAAATATGTAGAAATTAAGTGACACATTTAAAAATAATCGGTCAAAGAAGACGACAAAGGATATCAGAAAATACTTCGAAATGAATGAAAATGAAAACATAATATACCAAAACTTATGAGATTGATCAAAACCAGTATTCAGAGGGAAATTTACAGCTATAAGCACCTACGTTAAAAAAGGAAAATGATCTCAAGTCAATAATCTAATGTTATACCTTATAGGATCATCAAAAGAAGACCAAATTTAACTCAAATCCAGTAGAAGGAAGGAGATAGAAGATTAGAGATAAATGAAATAGAAAATAGGAGAAAAACAGAGAGAATGAATGAAACCAAAATCTTTGAAGTCAAAATTGACAAACCTTCAGCTAGAATCAGAAAAAGGAGAAAAGACTCAATTTTCTAAAATCAGAAATAAAATCAAGGACATTACTACTAACCTTACAGAATTTAATAAGATTATAACAGATTATATATTATATATAATATATTATATAACAGATTACTCTGAACAATTGTACGCCAACAGATTAGATAAACTTAGGTGAAACATTCTAGAAATACACAAACCACAAAAACTGACTCAAAGAGTAACAGAAAATCTGAATAAAATATACTAACTAAATATTGAATCTGAATAAAACCTTCCAACAAAATAAAAAACTCAGGACCAGAAGGCTTCACTGGTGAATTCTACCAAATATTCAAAGAAGAATTAATACCAATCCTTCTCAAGCTCCTTAAAGAAATATAAGAGGAATGAACACTTCCAAACTCATACTACAAGACCAACATTATCCTGATGTCAAAGCCAGACAAGGACACCACAAGAAAAGAAAATTACAGGCTCATATCCCTGATGAAAACAGATGCATAAGTCCTCAATAAAATATTAGCAAACCAAATTCAACAGCATGTTAAAAGGATTGTATACCCATACACACACTCCTAGGCATATATTCAAACTGCTGAAAACCAAGATAAAGAGAAAAGCCCAAAGGAAGACATATTACGTTAAGAGGAACAAAGATTTAAAAATACATAGTAGACTTCTTGTCAGAAACTCAGTAAGTCAGAAGAAAATGAACACATTTAAAGTGAAAAGGATGAGGAAAAAGGAGAAAAAAAAAACCCTGCAAGTCCAGGGAACCAGCAAACTATCAACAATGAAGGTAAATCAAAGACAATTTCGGACAAAGAAAAACTCAAGAGAATTTAATACAGGCAAACTTGCAATTCAGTTAAAAGAAGTTCTTTAAGCAGAAGATATATGGTATAAGATAGACACTTTACTCCGCACAAAGATCTCTTGAAGTAGTGAAAATGAAAGAAAATTGTGGGGCGCCTGGGTGGCTCAGTGGGTTAAAGCCTCTGCCTTGGGCTCAGGTCATGATCCCAGGGTCCTGGGATCGAGCCCCGCATTGGGCTCTCTGCTCAGTGGGGAGTCTGCTCCCCCCCCTTCTCTCTACCTGCCTCTCTGTCTGTCAAATAAATAAAATCTTTAAAAAAAAAAATTGAACATGCTTTCTTCTTATTTTTCATCACTCTAAAAGATAATTATCTAAAGCAAAAATGATGACAGTATTTTTTGGGTTTGGAGTATTTATAAAAGTAAAAGGTATGGCAACATTAGCATGTAATTCCCAAACAGTACAAAATCCCCAAATATTTGGAAATTAAATAACATTTCTAAATAGCCCATAAGTCTAAAAGGAAGTTACATGGGAAATTAGAAAATATTTTAAGTGGAAAGAAAATGAAAACACAAAATGTCAAAATTTGCATAATACAACTACAATCATGCTTAGAGACAAATTTATAACATTAAATGCTTATATTAGAAAATAAGCAAGGTTTGAAATCAGTGAGCTAATCTAATCTAAAATTATCATTAGATAATTAGATTGAGCTTAACAAAATGATGGCACATTAGAATGAAAGTTTAACTTTGTAGTGCTGAACTTCTTATACCTTAGAATCATCTGGGAGGCTTTTTAAAAATACCATGCCTCAGGGTGGGGCCTGGACACATTTGTAAATTTCTTCGGGTGACTCTAATGTACGGCCAGAGTTAGGAAACACTGATTTAACTGAATGAAAATGATTTATCGTGGAAATGGGAGAATAATGAACAAACTTGGTACAGCAGATTATATGTTGGCTTTCTTCTTAAAAAATGATAATTATGGGGTGCCTGGGTGGCTCAGTGGGTTAAAGCCTCTGCCTTCAGCTCAGGTCATGATCCCAGGGTCCTGGGATCAAGCCCTGCATCGGGCTCTCTGCTCAGCGGGGAGCCTGCTTCCCCCTCCCTCTCTGCCTGCCTCTCTGCCTACTTGTGATCTCTGTCAAATAAATCTTTAAAAAAAAAATGATAATTACCCGAATCACAGAATTCAAGTCTTCAATTATGCTCTTGCTGATAAGAATTGCATCAGGATACTCCAGCATTAACTGAAAATTTTCCAGCTCCACTTGTCCTTGTTTAAGGAGAACTTGGATTGTCAAATTCAACTGGAATCTCACTTTTTCTTCCTGTAATCTACATTGAAAAAACTTCAAAGTAAGTAGTTGTAATATACTTATATTTCAAACTTCATCTATTATTTGAGAACCTAAAATTCAAACTTAATTTTCAACTTGAATTTCAAACTTAAGCTGAAGGAAAACCTGCTGGAGATTAACACAGAATATCTTTTCCTGATGATGAGCTTTCTTGGAGGTCTCTATGATACCTCATCTTGTTGATATGGAATTACACTTGGGCTGCTCAAAGAATGGCATGGACAGAAATGCAGTCACAAAGTTTCACTTTATGATTAAGAAAAAATTAATATAACTTTGGTTGTAAGTGGAAAAAAATTGAGATGCTACCAAATAACACAGCTATTGAAGTTCTGACTTTTTTTTTTTTTTAAGGATTTTATTTATTTATTTGACAGAGATCACAAGTAGGCAGAGAGGGAGGCAGAGAGAGAGAGAGGAGGAAGCAGGTTCCCTGCTTAAAAGAGAGCCCAATGCGGGGCTCCATCCCAGGACCCTGAGATCATGACCCGAGCTGAAGGCAGAGGCTTAAACCACTGAGCCATCCAGACACCCCGAAGTTCTGACTTTATATATTGACTTCTGATATTTTATTAACAATGTTTAATCTGTATGCTACTTATATCTATTTCTGGCTAAGTCCCGTTCCTCCTAAGAGCCTAAGTCTGAGGATGATGTATAATGATGAATTTGGAAACACCAGAGAAGCATTTATCAAGATGGCTGCAAAAATGGAAAAAGTGAAGCAAAACTTAGAACAGTATCCCAATCACTCAACAAAATACAAGCTCTCTTAAAGAAAAAGATATTCGCTGGTTAGTTGCCTACATGGGAATTTTCTTGGGTATCTGCTTAATTTTCCACAGAGTTTGCTTGTGTGGCTTGAGCCCAAAAGTGCCGACTAGCAGAAACAAATTCTTTGTACTGTATGTATGTGGAAGGAGCAGGTTAAAAAACAGTAAGATTTTCCCCAAACTTGCCTCTTTCTAATAAGAGCAATGGAACCTATAGGTAAGTTCCATTCTCAAGCAAGGTCTTTTGTAACAAAATGCACTTTTTCAAAAAGAATTTATAAAGCCCAGCAAGAGAGACCAGTCTGTGCAGCGAGTAGGCTTTCTCCCCCCATGATAATACAAACTAACTTAGCCCTAGCTTAGACTCTGTAAATGAATGAAAAGTTCAAATTACACCATCTGTTCATGGAACACTTTTTCAATTTCCTGTTGCAACTTCTCATCATCCTCTGTTCTCCTCCGGAGGAAAGTTATCATTTCCATTAAGCCAGCAGCTTTCTGCTTTACCTGAAGGAACCAAACCACAAACATCTTAGAGCATATGGGGCTTTGGAGATCAAAGCAAATTAATTTTAAAGAACTTAAGAAAACATAGATGTTTTATTTAGTTACAAAGCCTTAACAAGTCCATTTTTCTAGGAGAGTAGTAAAATTTAAATCCCTGCCATTATGTGATATACGGTACCTAAAATTTACATGGCACATTCTGTGAATATTTTGAAAATATTCAATGTGCTTCTCACTAAAAACTAAATATGCAAGAAAATATAACTTTCCTTATGTCTTATTTTACAATTTGTTCTTGTCATCTCAGATAAAATGATAAAATTATAGATTCCTGAGCAAAAATATGCCAGTCTGATGTTTGTGGCACTGAATTTAGGGAATTTTGGGAAGGGGAGGCCCAGGGTGGTCAAGGAACAGCAAAAGGAATGAATCTTTTCCCAATTAATACATTCTCAAATTGTTACATTTGCCACATTAAAAAAAAATATTCTAGCAATATAAAGTAAGTTCCAGTGAAATATATTCTAATCTGTGCAAAAAGGGCTGAGGACAACTCAAGACCTGGGCAGAGAGCAAGGCAGTCGTGTCTATGACAGTGCTGCCCAAGAGAAATACAATGTGAGCCACAAACTCGAGCCACATATTTAATTTTCAGTTTTGCAGGAGTCACATCATAAAAAGTGAAATGAAACAGGTGAAACTAATTTCACCAATATATTTTATTTAATACAATTTATCCCAAACATCGTTTCAACTGTAATGAAGATAAAAAAATGTTGAGACATTTCCATTCCTTTTTCATAATAAGACTGCTAAATCTACATCTCTTTTCTACTTACAACATGTCTCAATCAGGACTGGCTACATTATTTTAAGTAAATAATAACCATATGTGGCTAGGGGCAACTATTTTGGACAACATGGGCTTATAAGTATACACCTATACTTAGCCCTCAATACCATTAAGGTTAATATTTTATCTCATTGTTATTATTACTAGTGTTACTAACTGCTACCCTAGCAGGAAAACCTAAATAATTAGCATTTCTGGAAGCTGTGATCACTAGAAACTACATATTTGATATTAGTACACTAAGTGAAATAAAATTGAAATGGAATAAAATAAAATGTTATTATATACTTTCTGTTCATTTTCCACTTTCGCTCGTCTGGTCACGCAGAAATGATCCCAGACTGAGGGGTCCAAGCCTTCGGGCATGTTATTAATATTGTCCAAGTCATCCATGGCTTTCATTAACTGGACAAATGCATCCTTATTCAATTTCCCAGATTCTGGTCGCTCTCCAAAAGGCACAATACCGGCCGTATCTGAATGCATTTTTTGTTTGTGAATCCTGGTATTACCAATAAAAATCCATCAACCTTTCATATTCTCACACACAAGAAATCAATGTTAAATTATACAATTCTTAGCATCAGTATGACATTGTATGACATTTTCTTTTGGCAAGTGGAGGCTGGTGGGTGGATTTTTCCAAAGACAAAAGCACCCACTTTGACCTTCCATAGTCCCTGGATGCCCAGGCATGACCTTGGCTGGCCTATTGATGTCCCTGACTGTTGTCAGCACCAGCAGCTTTACCTGCACTAAAGAAATCTCCCTTCTGTGTATTTTAAGCAGGCAAGTAAATGCCCAAGGGGAGTGTGGATAATCCCTGGTTATGTCCCAAATATTCTCTGCTAGTATCCTTTTTGCTGCTGAGTAGCCTGGAATATTTCTGATATAAACTGAACTGGAGAAGCACCTTTAAAAATCTACATTAAAGATGTGGCCAACCAAGGATTTGTACCAGACACTTATTATCTGGAAGCTTTACAATATGCTGTAAAGTTACTATTGTTATCCTCTTTTTCTAGATGAAGAAAGCCTGAGAGAAGCTATTGGTCCAAGACCACAGGTCTGATAGATGGTAGAGTTAGGATTTAAAGCTAATTCTGTTTGACAATAAAGCTTATGCTCTTTCCACTGCTGCCTTCCAATATGTGGGGAGTGTTTCTTTCTTCATAAGACTTATTATGACTCACTCCTTTAAAAATAGGGAAACCAAGATATGAGTCATGTTTTAGGTTGAATTTCCTGGGTTGCGTGTAACCTGTTAAAAGTGAGAGAATGAGTTTGTTATCTTAGACAAATATGAGCCTATACCTTTGTAACAAATTCCATGGTTTCTAGCTTATCTTCCATTGAAATTTACGGAAATGAGTATGTAAAACTTTGGAAATCTGTGAAATGAATTCTAATGCTACTCTGAGTATAAAACCCTGATTATTTTTGAACACTTTTTGATAATGGTTATTTTCAATCACTTATATTGGCATTTTCCAAACTTTGTCTTGAACACAATCACGTGATATGCTCTGAATGGCCAAATAAGTTTGGAAAATACTGCTTACTCTATTTTTTTTTTTTTTTAAAGAGAGCATGCATGTGTACATGAGTGGGAGTGGGGAGGGGCAGAGGGAGAGGGAGAGAATTTTTTTTTTAAGATTTGTTTTTTATTTGACAGAGAGAGAGACAGAGAAGGAACACAAGCAGGGGGAGTAGGAGAGGGAGAATCAAGCTCCCCTGAGCAGGGAGCCCGACGTGGGGCTCGATTCCAGGATCCTGGGATCATGACATGAGCTGAAGGCAGATGCTTAATGACTGAGCCACCCAGGCACCCCTAAAGAGAGAGAATCTGCAGGCTCTGCACTCAGTGCTGAGCCTGACTTGGGGCTCAATCACATGACCTGGGCCAAAATCAAGTGTCGGATGCTTAACCAACTGAGACGTCCAGACACCCCCTCTATTTTTTATACTTGGAGATCCAAAGGCCAAAAACAAGTTCTGAGAAGTCCTTTAGTAAACTGTTTAACTTTTTCTTTTAACCCAGGATTTTCTCAAACACATTTTGTCCTGGTAGCCTTTTACATGTAATTCCAGTTCCTACAACAAGGGCCTCATATTTGCTAGAACACACCTTGGGAAAAACTATAGATCTGTATACCATCAATATTTTAAGAGGAATTACTTTCACAGGACTATGATAGCACAATGCTTACCTAGATACTTTTAAGGAGAAAAACTTTTTTTAAACTTTTTAAAAAAACTTTTTGAATAATGAAATCATTTTACCTCATTGTTTACCTTAAGATATGTGAATAGTCTAAAAAACCCCTGAGTTATAATAAAGACACTTGAACGTTTTCACATAAAAGATGTTACACTGAATATTTCTATCCAGTTGGGATTGAAAAAGCCAAAATCTAACACTTCTCTTCATTACGAACTTTTTTTCTCAGAAAAATGTTAGTAAAGGAGAAACAAACCTTGGCCGGCGTTTGAAAAGTTTGTAGAGTGTATCCACCTGATGGCTGGGAATTTCAGAAAATTCTTTTTTAAAGCTGCGATCCAGAACCTAAGGATAGAGAGATTATTGCTTGGACTGCAATCTTTTCAGAAGCCCTTTCTTTGTTGACAATACTTTTCAAAATATAGGACTGAATCACTTTGATTTTAAAAATCCATGAAAATTTGGTTTGTAAAATAGACTTATTTGAGGGTAATACTTGCTATGCAAGGATCTTCAAAGATTTATTTTGAATAGGAAGTATCTCTGTGAATTACAAATATTATTTCATATAAGGTTCTAGAAATCATTCAGAACTAAAATTTTCACAAAGTAATATTTACCTGTAAATATTCTGGTTCTGTTCTTTTCCATTATAAAACTACTGGTCATACATATGATCCAATAATTCCACTATTAGGTATTAACCCAAGGAATATGAAAACACTAATTCAAAAAGATATATGCACCCCTATGTTTACTGCAGCATTATTTATAGTAGCCAAATTTTGGAAGATTTTATTTATTTGATAGAGAGCACAAGTAGGCAGAGAGGCAGGTTGGGGGGTGGGTGGGAAGCAGGCTTCCTGCTGAGCAGAGAGCCCGATACGTGGCTCGATGTGGGGCTCGATCCCAGGACCCTGAGATCATGATCTGAGCTGAAGGCAGAGGCTTAACTTACTGAGCCACCCAGGTGCCCCTGGAATTAAGTTTTAAAAAATTCTGTTCATAGCCTACTAAATTGATTGCATGACCAACTAGTGGGGACCGCAACTTAAAGTTTGAGAAGCCCTAAGTTCTAGGTGAGTGCTCTCTTTTTCTGTACAAGGGAAAATTTAAACCAGACAAGTTACAAAAATTTATTTTACACACTGATTATCAGAAATATACAATGGCTCAGAGTGAAGTTCACTGATAATTGAGAATTGTAGCAGGATATATCTATGAGGAAGTAAAATTATATCCCTTTTAATCTTCCCCAAATTGAAGCAGCGACGCTATTGCATTGGTGAATGGGTAAGACAATAGTTCTCACTTTGTCTTCTGCCAACAAGTTGTCATAGTGTTCCTTGTACACATCAAGGTCTTCTCTGGCTTTCTGGATGGCCTCTGAAGTCTGGTTCTATAATAACATCAAGAAGAGGCAATTGGAACTGAGTTTTTTCAGGATAAACAAACATACTGGGATACTAAGAATAAGAAATTTCCTAATACAAGATAAATGAATCCGTGAGATACCCATTACAGATAACATTTATAGCAGAAAATAAATCAATTGGAGACTTTGAAAGAAAAAACATCTAAGCACCTGTTTTTTATATATAATGTATTTTTAAAAAGATTTTATTTATTTGACAGACAGAGATCACAAGTAGGCAGAGAGGCAGGCAGAGAGAGAGGGGGAAGCAGGCCCCCCGCCGAGCAGAGAGCCCTGATGCGGGGCTCGATCCCAGGACCCTGAGATCGTCATGACCCGAGCTGAAGGCAGAGGCTTTATCCACTGAGCCACCCAGGCGCCCCTAATCATGTGCTTCTAAGTACAACCAGCTATGTGAGTGTGTAAGTGACTGTGGAGCAGGGAAGTCTGATGATGAAATTGCACAGACTTGGGATTTACATGGCCTGGCTTCTGAGAAATTGAATATATAAACAGATAATGGCCAGACCATATATACAAACAGAACTCTGACCCACAACCCCTGTAGCAACTAGCTGGGAAACTAAACCATATATCCTCAGCAGCGATCAGTCCCAGACTGTCAGGATTTCATCAGTAACTTTCAGCCTTTCCTAATTCTTGCCACAATTTCCAGTTTAGGACCAAACAGAAAAAGCCGAATATGCTCCTCAAATTAATCACATAGGTTGCCCGTCTTCTAACTAACTTGCCCCTGGCTTCCCTATGCCAACAACTTTTTTTTTTTTTTTAAAGATTTTATTTATTTGACAGACAGAGATTACAAGTAGGCAGAGAGGCAGGCAGAGAGAGGGAAGGGAAGCAGGCTCCCCGCTGAGCAGAGAGCCCGATGCGGGGCTCGATCCCAGGACCCTGAGATCATGACCTGAGCTGAAGGCAGAGGCTTTAACCCACTGAGCCACCCAGGTGCCCCCCCTTTTTTAAGATTTTATTTACTTATTTCACAGAGAGAGAGAGAGAGAGAGAGCACAAGCAAGCACGAGTGGGGGCAGGGGAAGCAGAGGGAGAGGGAGAAGCTGGCTCCCCACTGAGCAGAGAGCCCCCTGGGGCTTGATTCCAGGACCCTGGGATCACAACCTGAGCCAAAGGCAGACGCTTAACTGACTGAGCCACCCAGGCTCCCTCCCACCCCCATGCCAGCAACTTCTAATCAGAGTGCACCTGAAGCCTTCTTTTCTTTCCATTTTATAGCTTTCTCATCCCTGTGTCTGCCTTTCAGTGTCCACCAAACACAAGTGATGGTGGCTGGCTTTTAAACTCGATCAAGTTCTGAATAAATAGTCTACTTATTCTTATTTGGATGGTCTTCATTTATTTTCACAGTTCCAATTCCTGCTGTTTTACTTTCTAATGGGTGACAGGCATGTTACCAGTATCTCTGAGACGGTCTCCTCACCCGTGAAAGAAATCCGGTTCCTTACAGGGTTGTTATGAGTAGGGCTGCATTCATGGACTTGAAGCAAAAACTAAGTTCATATGTCATATATATGATACCTTAAATCATTCATTCATAAATGTTCTTTATTAATACTACTAATAAAAGCGGAATCTTTTGTTTTGTTTTATTATTATTATTAATTTATTTTTTAATCAGAGAGAGTGAGCACAAGTAGGGGGAGTGGCAGGCAGAGGGTGAAGCAGGCTTCCCACTGAGCAAGGAGCCCGATGAGGGACTTGATCCCAGGACCCTAAATTAGGATCATGACTGAGCCAAAGGCAGCTGCTTAACCCGCTGAGCCACCCAGGTGTCCAAAAGCCACCCAGGTGTCCAAAATCTTTTTGAAAAATATTATGTGACAAGCATTTTGCATTCATTTCATCTTTAATGAAACATATCTGTTCATGCTATTCACTAGAGTTTTCCTGAATACGACAGTTTTTTGTTCTATAAGCTAACACATTACTTACATGTTTAGTAAAACGTAGGGTTCCAAATGATCCAGAGAGAACAATATTCCCAGAGCAGAGCTTGTATAACCTAAAAGGTTTACGCCTTGTTTGAGGTCCCACAGTGTCACAGCCAGTCAGTGGTTAAAAGTGGGTCCTTTCAACCATAAAGCTATGTGGCAATTTATAAACCATATGTCATATGAAAGTCATATGGTTCTTTTGACTAAATGATGACAGATGCAGAATCCCATAACTTCAGTAACAGATAAGAGCAGGTGCTTTCCCTGACCCTGGAGCCAAGTCCCTGACAGGGAGCCAAGGAACACACACAGCTGAGAGGAATGTGAAAGGAAGGAAGGGTCTAGGTGTGTGACCTCTTGTTTTGTGCGTGCGTGTGTGTGTGTGTGTGTGTGTGTGTGTGTGTTTTAACATATATAGATTTTATTTATTTATTTGGGAGAGAGAGAACATGAGCAGGGGGAGGGGCAAAGGGAGAGGGACAAGTAGACTCTTGTGCTGAGCTCCACCTGACCTGAGGCTGGACACGAGGCTTGATCCCAAGACCCCAGGCTCGATCCCAGGACCCCAAGACCATGACCTGAGCTAAAGGGAGACACTTAACCAATTATGATACCCAGGCACCCCTGAGAGCTTGTTAAACAAGGAGCATGTCTGTCAGAAAATCCTTTTATTCAAGATATCAGGTGCTATCCTTACTTTCTCCTCCTGCTTCCTTGTAAGGTAGTTGTTTAGGAATGCTTCTCTGGAGCTTATTTCTTCATCCAACAGTAAAGAAAATACAAGATTATTAATTTTCAGTTCCTCCTGTAGAAATATTTAAAAAGGTGATCAGTACATCTATTTGAGAAAGGATTTTCTGCTGAGGGTCATAGACTTGACACTCATCGAACAGGTTAATCACATACAAATAAGAGAAATTCTTTTTAAGAAAAAGGGAATATACACTGTGGCACTAATTACTCAGTTATTTTAACTCTTCATTGTAAGATAAAACATATACAGAAAAATACATAAGACCATGTATAGTTTAATGAGTTATTATAAAGGTAAAACATGCTTGGGATCACCACAATGTTCAGGAAATAGTACTTTCCCATCTCAGAAGTCCCTTCCATGTGTCCCCTTTACAGTCTCAACCCTGGGATAATTACTTCCCCGACATTCATAATAATCACTCCATTGTGTTTCTTTATGGTTTTATTACCCACGTATATCTCTGTAGGCACTACAGCATCACCTGTTCATTTAAAAATTGTCACATTTTACAAAATCCTATAATCCAGTTTCCCTTCCACCCCCTTCCTTTCCTCACATTTTCTTGCAGTTTTACCTAGTCTGGGTTTTGAAATCTGCATACTTACAGTGATTTCATCAGTATCCTTCATGTCATGTACTTCCTGAAAACTGGCAGCTGATCAGAGGCCTGATCAGACACATGTTTGATCCTTTTGGCAATACCGTAGGTGATACTGTGTTCTTTGATCAGTACACATATAATATTAGGGTGTCTTTTCTGACTTTTCACGATGTTAGTAACTGTAGACACCCCATGCCCAGGCCCATTTATCTATGGAGAGTTGCAGGATGGTGATATTCTATTCCTATCATTCCTTTTTGACTTATTAAAATTCTTTTATAAATAGACAGATGCTTCTCCTTATCTGCAATGTAGTTACCTAGTAGTACAGTTCACATAGGAAGGTGGAATCAGTACTTGATGGTCTCTCTTTATCAGTTTTTACATAATGAATTTGTTGTTATCCTCTGAAGGTGAATTATAGGCATTCTTCTTTTTAAAATAATCACAAATTAACAAATTTAAACAACTTTTGTGGGTTTCAGATAATGGCAATGATGATCATTATTGAATCTTAATTCAATTATAATTGAATATTAAATTATTTAGGGGAGCTTTTATTTTTTATTTTTTAAAGATTTTTATTTATTTATTTGACAGAGAGAGATCACAAGTAGGCAAGAGAGGCAGGCAGAGCTGGGGTAGGGGAAGCAGGCTCCCTGCTGAGCAGAGAGCCCAATGCGATGTGGGGCTCCATCCCAGGACCTTGGGATCATGACCTGAGCCGAAGGCAGAGGCTTTAACCCACTGAGCCATCCAGGAGCCCTAGGGGAGCTTTTGGATATCCTTTGGATAATACCTGCTAGTCTTTGACAGTTTCCTCATTATCTTGTATGAAAAGATGTTCTGAGCTTATTTTTTTAAAATAACAGCTTTAATAAAAATACATTATATGTTTATAAAAAAATAAAAAAGTAAAAAAAATAAAATAACAGCTTTATTAAGACATATTTCATAAATCATTCATTTCATACAAGTCAGGGTTCATCCATGTTATACTACGTATTAGTACTTTTTATTGCCAAATAATATTCCATTATATGGATAAGCCATATTTTATTTAACTATATGTAGTTGTTGGACATTTAGATTGTTTCTATTTTTGGGGGCGTTAGGACTAATGTGGTTCTTATGACTAGTGCTAAGGCATTTATTCCCAATGTCCTCCCACCTAACTACCATATACACACTCGCTCCCTGTGGGGCCATTGGTTATGTTCTGTCTATGGTCACGATTCCTAAGGGGGCAGGCCCTCTCTCAAGGCCACAGGTCTTGCTGGGTCCTGGTAGCAACTCCCTTCCTTTGCCTCTTTAGCTCTAGAGAGGTTACTGCCTTCCTGCTATTTCTAATCTCTAAATTTTCACCATTCCTTGCTGTTTCCCCTTAACCCTGAGAGTCCTTGCATTAAACCCTCTTGAATGTAACTCTTTCAGCGTACCATTCCTGTTGGGACCCTGAGGACAGAGACAACCTCCTAGAGGTTGGGAACCTAGAGGTTCTCTTATCTTCTCTCACCTTTTTTGCCTGACCTGCTTGCTTTGGGAGACACATATAAATTTTTGAGATCTTGTATTTCTCAAAATATCATTATTCTCCTCTTATACTCAGTTGGTAGTCTGACCAGGAATAGAATCCAATGTTAGGAATAATTTTTCCTCAGAATTTAGAGGCTTTAATCCTTGATCTTCTTGCTTCTAGTTACTGTACACTTCATTTATATTCTTCCTGCTGGATCAAATTAAGCTAGGATTTCTCATCGTATCTTTTGGGGGGAAGTGGATTATTCATTCATTTAACATGTAGTATGAGCCCAGCCCTTTGTTAGTTGCTGGAGATACAGGAATGAATAAGACAGACTTCATGGAACTTAAAGTTTTGGGAACATTAAAAAGTAATCTCACATAAATTAAAGTTCAGTTGCAATAAGTTTTAGAAAGTAAAAGAGCAGAGCATAGACTAGGAGGCTCCAGCCTAGTCTTGAGGAGCTGGCTTGTAAGCTGGGGCCTGCCGTACACAGCTGAGTAGACAGGCCAGGAGTCAGAACTGGGAGGAAGGAGCACTGAGGTGAGCTTGAGGCACCAGAGGAGGAAGCATGGCAGTGAGGGGGAGGGTGGCACAGGAGAGGCTGGAGCAGGAAACAGGTCAGCATGAGCTAGAACATGGTGCCAGAAAGACTGTTGGTCTTTTTCCTAAGAACAAAGAGAGGCCCTGGAGGTTCCATAAAAGAAAGGGTCCTGTAAGTAAAGCTTTTACTTACCTGGTTGACAACCATCTCTGCCTTCACTCTCCTTTCAAAGAGTCTTTTCAAATGTTCATCAAAATTCTGTGTGCTTTCTTGAATAGAGTTTTGAAGTTTCTTCATTTCTGCCTCCAATGACTGGAAAGAAGTTGATAACAAAGTTAACATTTAGGAACATCAAATGCTCCAAGGAAGGGGTGTTCATATTTTGCTGCAAGGGAGGGGCAGAAGGAGGATAGGCCTTGGGAAGTATCCTGGGTCCTTCACCTTCTTTAATCAGAGATATTCCACTTAGATCTCTAATATATTTTGAATCTGAGATTTTTTTTGACAGAGATCACAAGTAGGCAGGGAGGCAGGCAGAGAGAGAGGGGGAGGCAGGCTCCCCGCCAAGCAGAGAGCCCAATTTCGGGGCTCGATCCCAGGACCCTGGGATCATGACCTGAGCCAAAGGCAGAAGCTTTAACCAACTGAGCCACCCAGGTGCCCCAAATCTGAGATTTTTGTTTTAAGAAGGTTAGAGTGGGGGAAAAAAAAGGAAATAACTAATCATGGCTAATGGTGCAGGCAGAGATAGGCCTAGTAAAACAAAATCTCTGGTGGTACATCACTGACAGGAACACTACATGAATCATGTTGTATCCTCCTCAGTGCTCCACATGAGGAGACATGACATTGGTTTGTTTCATTATTGGTGATGTTAACTGTGATCACTTGGTTAAGTAGTGTCTGCCAGTTTCTCTATTGTACAGTTACTGTTTTTCCATTTGTAATTAATTTGTGGGAAGATACTTAGAAACCAGTAAAAATCTCATTCCTCATCAAACTTTTATCCACCAGTTTTAACATCCACTGATAATACTTACTTGAATAAATTATTACGATAATGGTAATAATAGCATTATTATTTTAAATTTACTTTAAAAAGCCAAGATCTGGGGTGCCTGGGGGGCTCAGATGGTTGTGTCCAGCTCTTTAAAAAAAATTATTTACTTCTATTTTAAAATTATTTTATTATTATGTCCAATTAGCCCACATTTAGTACATCATTAATGTGTCCAGCTCTTGATTTCAGCTCAGGTCATGATCTCAGGGTCATGAGACAGCCCTGCATCAGGCTTCATGCTGGATATGGAGCCTGTTAAGATTTTCTCTCTCTCCCTCCCTCTGCTCCTCCCCCACTCCTCTTGCACACAAGTGTGTGCATGTGTGCTCTCCCACTCTCTCTTTCTTTAAGTTAAAAAAAAAAAAAAAAAAAGCCAAGTTCTGTCTATGCTGGTTTAATGGAGAGAGGGACTAATTCTGGGAAGGTGATGGAATGAGTTTAGCAAAATGTAGAGGCACTTGACACAAGGATAAACACCACTCAAATTAAGCTAATTAAGCAATGCGAAAACATTAATACAGGAAAAGCACACTGCAGGGTCAGTCTGCTTTTCATAATTTATGATACAGTCTTATAGAAATGGAAAAAAATCCCAAAGACTGTGGGCCCAGTAGTTATGTATCAAGGCCATGTGTTCCGGGACAGTGGAAGCATCATCACATGGCAAATGACCAAAGACTCAGCCTGCTGAGACCAGACTGTCCAAGGGTCCAAATCCCAGTCTGAAAGGAACTCTTTTAGTGTTAGAATGGCGTTTTGTTCTGTGCTTCAAATGCCCCACATTATTCTCACTGCAGGCTCTTCTCATGTGCTTTTCCATCTGTCTAATCTCCATTCTCTGCTCTTCAACCTGTCATTTTTCTCATTCTTCCACCTCGAGCATAAAAGCCACTTTTTCAAGTTAACCTACCTTGGGTCCTGTTTTAGGTACTACCTTGAGTCTTAGAAGCAAAACCTGGAACAGGATTCCAGTGTATGCAATTATAGGAGGGAGTGCTTTTTCAGAGACACCTGTAAAATGTGGAAGGGGAAGCAGGCAGGGAAGAGGCAGGAGCTGAGCTACAATGTGCTCTTAGGTGGCCCAGCATTTACCTGATTCCTAGGGCTCAAGGGTAATGGAGAGGCGCTGCTGAGCTGCCCAATTTGGGCCAACTGGGCAGGACTTCTCTATCCTCATCTCTTCAGTCAGTTACAGGCTTTTCTGGATAGGGGCAGTAGGTATAACCTGGTATGCTCTAACAAGGATGCCCCCTTGATGAGCCAAGGACAAGGCATCAGAGGTCTCAGGTTTGAGCCTTTAGCTGCAGTATGCACAGCAGTGAGGGGATGGGCATGCCAGCCTGAAAAGGGGACCTAGTGAAAACCAATGGCCCCAATCTACATCTGTGCCTCTATGTTTACTGTCATAGATGGTACCTGAACTTGTGCATTCTGATTCATCATACTGCAGTTAAAGAACTATTTTGTGAATGTCCAGTTAATGTGTAACACCCTCCTCCTCCCAAGGCAATGAGCACCATGAGGGGGCAGGGCTGTGTCTGTCTATTCAGCAAGTGTTCCTTGGGACCTGACACAGTGGCCAGCACATAATGGGAACCAAAGGAATATTTGTCAAAGAACTGGGTGTCACTTTTCTTCAAACATTCCTGGGAAAATCTAATTTTAACTAAAACTGTATCAGATGCTGCAAAATGAGAAGCAGGGGAGATGAAAGGTGGGAGACTCAATAGGAGGGTATGGATGAACAATGCAGAATCCATTAGACCAAGAATTTCTCCCAGCCCTGGACAAAAACATTGCCTACAATTTAAGAAGGTATTATTGTAGTTGACAGACTAGGCTCTTAAGGGTGAAGGTGGTAGCTTTTCATCTGCAAATCACTAGGGCCTAGGAGAGTGTCTGGCACATAATAAATGTCAATAGATTTATCCATTTCATTCAGGAAATATTTACTGAGGGCTTATTACAGGTCAAGCACAGTTCTCAAAACTATAGTAATGAACAAAACAGACCAATTCTCTTCCCTCATGTTGCATTCAAGTAAAGGAGTCAGGTAACATGTAAACAAATATGGATAACGTAGGCCAGGTGGCATGAGCACTCTGGAGAACAACAAAGTAGGGTCAGGGTGTAGAGCGGAGCTGGTGGGAGGGAGTTTGACATGTTATGTTGGAAGATGAGGTGACAACTGAGTAGAGATCCAAAGTATGGTTAAATGGGTTCACAGCACCCCAGGGCATGGCAAGAATGAGCTGTGCGTGATGGAATCAAGTGTGCTGGGTATTTTTGAGGAACACCAAGGAGGTCAGTGGAGCTGGCCCAGTTGACACAGCTAAGGACAAGGAGAATGGTGTGAAGTAAAATGGGAGGGCTACAGATCGGAGGAGGGGGAGGGCAGGGAAACTAATGCTATAAATTGGGTAAAAGACAATGGTGTTTGGATTGGTGGGAGTTATTGTGGTGCCCAAAGAGGAGCTCCTGGAAAATCGTAAAAAAGGGACTGGAGGCGCAGTCTCAGGCAGTGCTGCTTCTGGGGAGAGTAAGGCAGTGTGGAAGAGGGAGGTGTCTTTTAGAGACTTGGGTGAAAGGAAAGAAGAAATGAAGAAGTGAAGATTAAGGATCCTGCAGAAACAAAAGAAAATCATGAAATCAGAAGACATGCTGGCCTCTTCCCCCTGATATAAAAACAGTGGTGCACGAAGAACTTTTTATTAAGTTTATAATGTTATCCACACAGAAGGGGAAAGAAAGGATTAGTCCAAATAAATTCTGAACATAATGTGCAGATGACCTGCCCTCCATGGGATATATCCTAAGAACAAGAAGTGGTGCAAAGAAAATTTTTTTTTTTAGATTGTATTTATTTATTTGACAGAGATTACAAGTAGGCAGAAAGAGAGGAGGAAGCCGGCTTCCCATTGATCAGAGAGCCTGATGCAGGGCTCGATCCCAGAACCCTGGGATCATGACCTGAGCTGAAGGCAGAGGCTTTAACCCACTGAGCCACCCAGGCGCCACAAGGTGCAAAGAAATCTTAAAACCTGCCATGATGTTTTGCTTTTGGTAGAGGTATTATATGTATATTGTAGGACTGAGCAAATGAATAAATATACATATATATGGGGAACTAGAGCTTGCATTGGAAAGGAGATCTAAGTGCTAAATTAGGGAAAGAGATAAACTCTATGGTATGTTGAATTGGAATTGGAGGTAATAGTATGGAGTTTTGATATCATATATATATATATATATATAAAATACAGGAGAAAAATGCAAAAACAAATGTGGCAATATTAAAAGTTGGCAGGTGAAGGTATATGGTACAGGTATACTAGATATACAGAATATGTGTACTATTTAGAAAGGAATATGGTATACAGATGGTACTACTCATGCAACATTTCTGTACATTTGAATAATTCTAAAATAAAAATTGGCAAAAAAATCTAGTTTGGGGGAAATTTGTGGAGATATAAAATGAAATAAGATTTGCCATGACTTGATAATTGTTGAGGCTGGATGAGGGGGCCGCTATATTATTCTCTCTACATTTTTATACATTTGATATTTTCCATAATATAAAGGTTTTTCCAATGGCTGAGAAAAGAGAAATTGGAGACCATGAACACAGATTTTTCTAAGGGTTTTTCTAAGGAGATACTGGACCGTGGATTGAGAGGCAAGTGGGGTCCAGGGACTTTTTTTCCCCTTTTAACTTTATTTACTTTGAAATAAATTCAGATTAACTCAAAAGTCACAAGGATAGTAGAAAGAATTCCCGAATCCTCTTGAAAGGAATCCTTTTTTTCCCCTATTTTCTTGTCTATACCATGAGAGATGTATCCAGTGTATAATTTTAAAACATTCATTCTATACTGGAGGGAAAACTGATGTAGGAAAAAGGGGCATATTGCCAGAATGGTAGGGGGTCAGATGTTGGAAGTTTAGAGGGAGAGGAGAACATGAGACATGCTCCTCTAGGATCTTGCTACTTAAAGTGTTTGTCCTCTGACAAGCAGTAAGTGACACCACCAGGCTGCTTGTTAGAAATCTCAGGTCCTTCCATTTCCTCAAAATGACAGAATCAAATCGACATTTTTGACAAGATCCCCCAGGTGGTATGGACTAAGCTGGGGGTGGGGAAATGGAATAGCATCACCAAACAGCCTAAAGACCCAGTAAAGATAGGTCATTAGAAGGAAAGCTGTGTTTTTTTCTTTACCCACTGTGTGGTGCCTGGTGCAGGTGCAGAGAAAGAAGGCTGAGTACTGGCTTTGCCACGGCTGGCTTCTACCCACTGAGGGCGACCACGGAGCAGGGAGGTGAGAGTGTAGGCAGCAGGTTATTTCACAATATGAGACCATGGAATAAATGCCACCCACCACCTTAGCATCTATACTTCTTAACTGCTTGAAATTTTTACTGCTTTCAAGACTGCTCATTTTGGGGTTTCGGGAAATACTATCTTAGGAGGAAATAAAAATGGGAACAGGTTACAAGGGGTCCCAAGAAATTGCTCAGGAGACACAGCCAGAATAAGGCTGACAAACTGCCCTGCCTCAGACAATGCCATGATTTTACCTTCTTCACAGAGGAATAGATGTTTTTTATTTGGTTGTATACCATCAGCTTTTATATCTCTATTATAATTGTAAACAATTTTATTTTTTCCTTTTTCTTTTTAAAAAATTAATATATAATGTATTATTTGTTTCAGGGGTACAGGTCTGTGAATTTAAGGAATTTTAATGTGGGAATGTTTGTGATGCAAGGAGATAATGGTAGGAGAACTGCTTCGCAAATATCTCAAGTTAGAACTGTAAAGTATGTGCTATTGATTGTGTTATTCTTCGGTCAAGTCCTTTCCTTGAGACTGAGAGGAAATCAAGCAAGAGTTATTACTGAACTCTAACAGATGTAGAAGATACAGAGCAGCCTAGAATATATGCTACTAGATGTTCATTAAACATTTGAAGAATGAATGGAGGACCAAATGAACTCTAACAATCTGGGAAATGTTGAAATCAATAAGAACTGTAAAAATAACACATTGTAATACATTCTTTCTGTTTTAAATTGTGTTAACTCAGGGCACCTGTGTGGCTCAGTGGGTTAAAGCCTCTGCCTTCGGCTCAGGTCATGATCCCAGGGTCCTCCCTGCTGAGCCTGCTTCCTCCTGTCTCTCTGCCTGCCTCTCTGCCTACTTGTGATCTCTCTGTCAAATAAATAAATAAAATCTTTAAAAACAAACAAACAAACAAACGAATAAATAATTTGTGTTAGCTCTTCAAAGTTATCTCTACCCAATTCCCCAAATTCTCTTGAGAATGTAAGTTGAAACAGTATCCTTAAGCTACTAACAACACTGAGGGAATAAAGAACACTTAATTTGAAGAGATACTGAAACAAAGTCTTGGCAGGGTGTATTAATTCTTTGCTCTTCTGACCTTTCTGTACTTATCTCTTTCTTCATTTAACTCTTTGACTTTCTTCTCATAGTCTTTGAATTGTTTCCTCTCTTCTTCAGACCACAGAGCATCAGGTTTTGCCATGAAAGCAGGTTGAGGAATCACCTGAAGATAAAAATGAAAGCATACACTGTGGTTCAAACATAAATATAACAGTAGAGTAAAAGGTCAGAGTTATCATTACAGTTAAAAAAAATAAAAGAGCCCTTTCAAGGGATATAGTTCTTCAGATTGGCAAGACAATGGCCTGACACTCTGATGAAAGGATATGAAAAACGTTACAACTGTTTTTCTGTGACATAAGCAAGAATGGGAGTTTAGGATGTACAGAGAGAGTCTTAGGTGACAGGTTCAGACATGTATGTTGATATCTTCATAAATATGAAGTCGATAACTTCACATGTAGTTCATAAAACTACACCTGGGCTCCAGGGACACATAAGGCACGTATCAAAAGGAATGTTTCTTGCTACATCCAGAGAATTACAGATGCAACATTATCACTGCTTTCTACAGAGACCAGAACCACTATGGTTGTTTGTTTTGTTCTTTTGTTTGTGTTATGTAAGATGGGGAGGCAAGTCCAAGGTTTCAAATTTCTCATTTACCTAATGTGATATGTTTATGAAGTACAGGGAGGTTGTATATTTGTTGTTGTAGAATTTCTAAAACTTGGGCCAATGTAGACAAGAACGATCAAATTTGTGTAGCTCTCTCTACCCCCATTCCATCTTCTATAAGAACGGCCAGAAGTCTTACCATTCTCAAAATATCTTCCTTCTTGACTTCCAGAACTCCTCCCATCATGTCCATCAGGGCTCGGTGCCTTGTGTTGGGGCCCTGGAGAAGAGCCATGGTCAGGGAGGGCAGCTAAGACAGAGATCTGACCCTCTGGTAGAACCAGAGGCAGTCTCCCACCCAATGTTAGAATGACTGCATTAGAATTGGGCAGGGTGGTAAATGGCATGGAGGGAAGAGGAGAAAGAGGCCACTGAGATTCCAGGGACCCCTGACCACAACAAATGCCCCGATGTGTTTCTATAGTGGAGTAAAGTACAAGACTATTCAACCAACTTAGGAACAAGTATCCCTAAAGGAAAGAGGGTCATAGGTAAGTTTGAGCAAAACTGCATACCCGTTTCTGAAGCCATTGCTCCATTTCATGGGTCACGGTCAATTCTGTTTTGGCTTTCAGCCATGGATTAATAAATTTCTGAGCTGTAATCTGAAAGAGAAAATGTGGCCCCATAGTGTAATGGTCAGCACCCTGGACTTGGAAAGAGAAAATGTGGTTTCCTGCTGTTGTTCTTACAAAATTTAAACCAAATATCCCTTCCACACACCAGGGAGGAGGTTAAAAGGTATTATGAGGATAAAGGAACCATCCAGATTTCGCAATCAATTTCCTATCTTGAAATAAAGAATGAGAGGGTTGGGAAAATTGATTGTTACTTCTCTATCAGTTCTCAAAGCTCTTCTCCATCATTGAAGATATTGTAACAGGGATCTAATTCAGATGAGAGGGGCAGGAAAATGGTTCAAAGGCGTGTCATCTAAGCCAAATCCTGTAGGATGAGGGTCCTGAGAGGTTAATAGCTTGAAGTATTCAAGGAATTGTGGGAACACAAGTGTGGCCAGCCCAGAGCAAGGTAATGAGAGCAGCTGAAGAGGAAAGGAGCCATGGTTGGCAGTCACAGAGGAGCTTGTTATCTGAAGTGAAATGAGCAGCCACTGCAGGGGTTTAAGCAAAGGAAAGACATAATATAAGTTTGGCTTGTAACAAGGTCACTCTCCTGATGTAGAAGGGATTAGAGAAGAAGCAAGTGTGGTGAGGTTAATTATGCACATACAAAGACTGCCCACAGTAGGATCTTGGTGACAGACACAGAATGGGGTCCTTGCTCTCACTGTGCTCCAGAGTCTTAGGTTACATGGCAGGAGTCTGGTTCTGGAAGAAATAATTTCCTTAAACAAGTACAGTAGACTGTAGAGATGAAGACATACTCTGAAGGATAGGGTTTGGGTTCAAACCCCAACTGTGTCACTTATTAGCTTTCTAACTGTGGTCAAGCTACTTAACCTCTCTATGCCTTAGTTTCCTTATCTGTAAAATAGAGGTGTTATTAGTACCTACCTTGTAAGTTTTATAATGATAAATTAGTTTCCATCGATCTAGGGCACTTAGAACAGGACCTGTTCTTTTTAGGACCTGGCTTTTAACAGGGACTATAAAAGAGTTTGTTATTATTTCTAAGTAACACTATTAGCTTTTGTCCCAAAGCAATCAGGCTGGTTTCATATGAGCAAGGATTTTTTTTTTTTTTTTTTAGTATTTTACATTTGGTTATATTTTAATTATTTTCTTTAAGCATTTACTTGTAACCACTTCTGGCCAAACACCTTTTTTTTTTTTTTTAAGATTTTATTTATTTATTTGACACAGAGAGACACACACACACACACACACACACCAAGAGAGGGAACACAAATAGAGGGAGTGGGAGAGGGAGACGCAGGCTTCCCACTGAGCAGGGAGCCCAGTGTGAGGCTCAATCCCAGAACTCTGGGATCATGACCTGAGATGAAGGCAGATGCTTAATGACTGAGCCACCCAGGTTAAACATCTGACTCTTGATTTCTGCTCAGGTCATGATCTCAGGGTGGTGAAATTGAGCCCTATGTTGGTCCCTGAACTGGTCATGGAGCCTGTTTAAGATTATTTCTCTCCCTCTCCCACTGCACTGCCCCTTGCCCCTGCCTCATACTCTCTCCTAAAAAGAAAAAGACTAATCATTGAGGCCCCTTTCTGGGATCCATACTGCCTTAATGACCCAGATAATTACTGGAGCTTTATCACGCTCTCATCTACAATGTGATCCAACCTTTTCCGATATAGGTACTGGACCTAGGCTGGGTCAAGGAAGGTCTTCCTAGCCAAATGTGGAATTAGGACTGAGAGATTCTCGTTTGGACCAGCTATCCACTTGAGTAAGGAGAAACAAAGTAGAAACTGCTAAAAACGAAATGCAGAGAGAAGTGAGCTAAGAGATAAAGAAAGCGGACTTCCTGACTCCCCACAGGATTCTGGTCTTTGGTTCCCTGTTTCTTTCTAGGCTTCCAAATCTTCCCTAGATTCCACAGGATTCCAAAAGAAATTCTCATTATTGCTAAGGCAATGTCAATTGTTTTTGTTTCTTGTGACCAAGGATACCACCTGATACAGTCACTTCCAGTAGTGCACATGAGGAGATGAGTAGGAAAGAATGTGGGAAAATGTCCTGAGAGAAAAGGGAAGGGATAGCACAGCTAGCCAGTACCTCTTTGTTTTCCACAACGAGAGTTCTCTCTGGCTTCTCACAATCATCAAATTCTGGTTGCCAGATCACTTCTTCCAAGTCCAGATCTAAAATAATTTCTTGAATTCTTATATTTCTTTCCTTCACACGTGCAACTTCGAACTCTTTTTGTTTATATGCAGCATCAAACTCACGGTTGAAAGCAGTTTTTACCTTGTAAATGACATCCTGAAATATCAATGTGACACTGAGAACACATCCCATGTTATAGGTCATGACTAGTAACAAGGTCCCACGGCTTTACTTTCCTTCCAAAATCAATTTATAAATCATCAGGAAGTTAATCTTTCTAAAATACAGTTTATATTAAGTCATTTATTGGTTCAGTAATCCACAGTGGCTTACTACCATGGGTAGGCTTAAGGTGATGGCATAACTGTTATACCACAATCTACTTCCTGAAATGGAAGCTGTAACTCAGTATACAGGTATGTTGATAAATGCTGAAGTAGATGATGGACACTTGGAGACTCTTTGGGTTATTCTCTCAATTTTTGTATATGTTCTAAGAAAAAAATCCATCATAAAATATTTAAAAAGTGATACGTGATATTTAAATTGGGAAATGGCTTCTCTTTGAAACCTTGTTTGGGGGAGATGTGGTAAGGAAAGGATGGCCTATAGAGGTTGTTTGGAGAATTTCCCAGAAAAGCACCACCACACACAATATTCTTCCTCCGTATGGTCATATGATTCTCAGGTATGAAGGGGACCTAAGCTGGCTAGCTGCATCAGCCAGTTGTCCAGATGGCAGTGGGCCGAATGGACTGCTCCCACCTGTATGGGTGGCGGGATGACGGTCAATTCAAAGTAGCCTTTATTTTACCATCAGATTCAGTCTATATATCTATCCTACTGAAGATGAAACTATTAAAGCAGGTAGAAAAATGATCTTAACAGCTGACAAGAGAATTTCTCTTGGGCTGAGATTAACCCGCTTATAAGAAAATGCCTTAATAAAATAGCAGATGGATGAGACACTGAGGGTGTAGGTCAGCAAAAGCTGAGCAACAAAAGAGATAACGAAACAGTTTTGGATTCAAATGCACAGGAATTTCAGGGGTTGGAGGAGAAGAAAAGAAAAACAATAGTAAGAGAGAGTAGAGTATTATGGTAGGAGGCTGGAACTCAAATGGCAGATACGGTTGGAGGACTTTCAGGAATAGGAAGAGCCAACATTACATCTCGAACCATCCACATTGGTGCAATCTGTCACCGAAATTTCAAAAACTTCTGGTAGGCATAAAAAGATGTGTTCTGAGACTGACTCGTTCAGTGGAGAGTAAGGAGTAGGAGCTTAGAGCTTGCGGAATGCTACACCTTATTCTTGAGTCCCAGAAGAGAAGTTATGGAAGTCTTAGAGAGGAAATTGTATTTCCCCAGGTTAAGGGGATAGATAGCAATCATGTCTTGATCTTACAAGGAGGTCCTAAGGGACATCTGAGTTACCTAGAAGATGGCATTCAAGAACCTCTTTTATCTTTGAGCTTCCTGAAGATCTAAGCAGAAGAAAAGTTTGTTTGTGGTGTCAGCCAGGGTAGGTATTCTTCGGAAAACCTGTCATCATAGAACCCAGTCCTAATAGATGAAAGTAACTCCTGTACACAAGTTCCTTTTGAAGAACATGGACATACTAGCCATCTGGATATTTCTCTATGTACCTTAAATACATCATTTGATTAGCATTAGACTTCAGTTTGAGCCTTTGGAAGATGCCTCATGGGGACTTTTAGAGATTTTAGAGGATAAAGGAAAAATTCACCCACTTTCAGTAATATAATTTGGTTGATTTTCTCCTCTCTGGAATGAAGTTCCAATTGGCTTGACAAGAAAGAGGCTTGTACGCCAAAATCAGTACTCAGACTGCCAAGCAGGTAATTGGGCAAGTTGGGATTTTTTACTGCCACTTCTTCTTCTTCTTCTTCTTCTTCATCCTCCTCTTCATGATGCTTTTTAGCCAAGGTAATTGCAGACTGCACCTCTATAATTTCTTTCCGTACCTAAATATAGAAAAAGGTGACACGAAAGTTATGCAATAACAAGAATTCTCTAAAGGGCAATTTTGCGGCAACTTAAATATTTCAGTCATTTTAGGTGTTAAATTGTCTTGCCAACAGCTTAATTCAAAGGGATGGATAGATCCTGAAACTGATTCAGAAGAGATTTAAGCTTTGGAAATTGACAAAGTGCAGATAAGTCAAGAAAGTAAAAATTGTCCTTGATAGTATGTAATATTTATCTTTCTGTCAGGATGACAGCTGCTTATAAATATCTTGAGTTTTTCTTGGAACATAAACATTAAAAAATACACCTTCTCTTCATGTTTCCAAAGAAACTTATTCACAGAGGACTGGTGAGTGTAGGTTAAGAAGACTTGAAATATGCCTTCATTTTATGTTTCAGAAAAAAAATGGATGCAAGGTTCTGGCCAAAACTACCTTGATGGGGCAATGTTTTTCTAGAGATCTGATAGAGATTGCTGCTTTAAAACAAGCAAACAAACAAACAAACAGCTAGAATTGCTCTAGAAAAACCATAATTCCACCAAAACAGATACTACTTCATCTTTGGCCAATTATTTAAAAATATAATGCCTCGTGATACAAGAAGATAAAAAGAGTAGGATAGATGAAGACCACTTCTGACCAGAGCAAGAACAAAACCCTATATCTAATTTTTAAAAATTATGTCCTCTTATTTGAGGGCTAGCTAATACTGTATAGGACTATAGGTGTCTTGATTTATTGTGTAGATTCAGCTCCTATATTTATTAAAATATATTCTACAATTAACAAGGAATGAAAATGTAAATAATATATAAACTTATCTTAAGTTGTATCCTAACTCAAATCTGTATGGAGACCCTAAAATAAAACACATTACTTATATAAACACATATATATTTAAAATTGTACTTTAAGACATTCTGTTTCAATCTTCTTTTGCCACAAAACTCTCTTTAATTCTTTCAACTCTTCTTCCGTGCGCTCTTTCATTGGAAAGTTCTCAACCACGTAGGGCAGGTGAAAGCACTTGGGAAAAAAAAAGGCAAGATGAAATAAATTCATTTGTAGTACAACTGTGCATATGAGAGTTGGAGTGAGGGATATTATCCCTGACCAAAATTAATTCATAGGTCATCATGCATGAGTGGAATTGATAGTAGAAACTTTCTCTAAAATAAAACAATGTACATCATTAGTATTGGTGTAAACTCTGGGTAGAAATACTGAGCTTTTGTGAAGGATTTATTTCTAGAACAGTGGTTCTCAACTAGGAATGATTTTGCTTGCCCTGTTCCCCTCCTTCTCCCCAGCCCTCCAGGACATTTGGCAATGTCTGGAGACACATTTGATTTTCACTAATGGGAATTTTGGATGTTACTGGGGCCTAGTAGCTAGAGGCCAAAACATCCTATAATCCACAGAATAGCCCCCACAACAAAGAATTATCCAGCCCCAAATGTGCCAGTCTTACGAAACCCTGTTTAAGAGCAATACTCAATCACAGATATGTAGTGTGGCTATATACTTCATTATCCAAATTGGTGGGTTGGGGGGGAGAGACAGATTTGAAAGTGAGAAGGGTGTTCTTAATAGTTACATAAGGACCACCAGCATAAACTGGGACTCCTGATCACCCTACACAAAGAGGGAAATTGTGTTGGGAGGAATCTCAATGAAAAAGCATTAAATAACCCAGATGTTTAGAGGGCACAGGTAGAACTGTGAACAATATTATGTCTAGTTTTCAATCTGTGTGAATGTGACTGAGGTGGCCTTTTGGAAGAGACAGATAGGAAGAGCAGAGGCAGGTGGTTCATAGAGGAAAGAAAATCTTAAGAGATGGTGGCTTGGAAGTGCATAGGGACTAAGCAGAGAGGGAAGAACGAAAACAAGAGAGAAAGGGGCGTGAGTTGGTGGAATTTGGTACAGGGAGGGTGAGGATGCTCTGAATGTTTTTCCATGTGTGAATTTTCTTAAAATTATTTAAAAATCTTTCTGCCATGAGACTTTCAATGAAAGTTCTCATTGGCTAAGGTGTGGTACCTGGAATTATGTCTGTTACCTTAAGAGCTCGACCTTTCACAGCCATCGAATTCCAGCATTCTTCTTTAATAAGTTCAGACAGATAGGCCTTGGCGAGGTTTTGCATCTCTGCATCCTTTCTTATCTTGCAGAACGTAGATGAAGCGAAACAATGAACACGAATATGTAGCTTCTTAAAAAAATAATCTGAATTGCAAATTCACTAATCAGCCATGACTGCACATTTAGTGGCTGTCTTCTTTCCCCATTACACGGAGCTGCCTTGTGCTGGGAGATGCACCTGGGGACACTTTCCTGTCTCAAGGACCTTTCCTGAAGTTTAGTCTGGAGGCTTGGAATTTCCTTCCTGGAGGACCAGGCTGTCAACACAGAAACCTCTAAAGGCAGGCAGGTGCTAAACATGAGCCAAGGTGGTATGAGGCCAAGTGCATGGTGGACTGGACAGCTAAAGTGCCCACTATCACAGATCTGGTGGGTTGGTGCAGGGCTGGGCAGCAAACCCACTATGCCAGATCTTCCTGTTTTATTAGAGAAGTTTTAAAATGTGTATTTTTAATGAAACTACCAGATATCTAAATGTTGGCTTAATTCTTGTCAATGCATATTTGAAGTGCCAGTTTGTGACCTCTGTCTTGGGGGTCACTTAATTCTTCTATTATTTATGTCTACCATAATTAAATGCTCCGTGACTCAAAGGGATCATATGCTTGACCTTTTCTCATTTAGAAACATATGTTACCTTAGTTGGTTTTATCCGCTTAAGTAAGCCAACTGCTTGATCTTTAAGTGATTAGGAATTCTTGTTTTAATGGAGTTTGCTGAAAGACCTAATATGAAAGTGAGGACCAACAATCTCTAGTCCTTAGGATCCACTTCAGAACCTCTTTTGCATTTCTCTTTGTTGGCAGAATTATCAGCAAACTAGTTAAGAATAATACCTCCCAGATTAGAAAAATGTCTTATTTGTTCATTCAATTATTCATGTTTATTTTATTCACTGTCTGATCAAAGGCTTTGTTTTAATTTGTATTTGATTTCTTTTTTATCCATTAAGTTAATGGCTAATCCAGTTTTAAATTATTTTTTCCTTAAATAAACAGCTGTTTTGGCCTGTCAGTTGTCAGAACCTGTCTGATTCCTAGCCTACCCTGCCCTCCCCTCTCCACTGCTGAGGTTATTTGATCAACCCTCCAGACTTGGTCCCTAGTTCTGTGTCCAAGTTGTCATTACTGGGCTTTGGTCTTTCCCCTATGGTTGAGATCCTGACCAGGGCTAACTAATATTCTTGTCCCTTTAGGACTGGGATCCCTAACTGGGATCCACTGACCCTTCCCAGGGACTAGTATTCTCTTCCCACATGTGCCTGGGTTTGTGGTACCATCTGCTAACACTGTTCTGTGCTGGACCATCTGGTTTCACTATCACATCCAATCTGAGACCGATACTTCTTTAAAGTTGAGAGCTCCAACAAAGGTAATAATATTGGGGAAATAACTATATGGAGAGTCTTTCTCTGTCCCAAAGACTGCCTCAGAGGATTAAGAAGGCTTCTGGGGGAATATGCAGGAATTTGGTAAGCAGCAAGGAGCATCTGGAGCAGAGGCATGGGGTGGGGGTGGTGAGGGTGGGTTTATCAGTGGTCTGTAGGTCAATAGGCCAGAGGAGCAGGTTTGTGGGGATGAACGGTCACACATGAGCTTGGAGGGAGAAGCAACGTTAGAGTGAGGGGGTAGGTATCCAACCCAAACACACTGCAGAGTGGTCAAGCTGAGAAGCTTTTAGGAGAACCTGATACCAGAATGGGAGGAGGCATTCCAGGCTTGGGTGAAGCCCGGGTCAAAGGGGAAAAGCCCTAGTAGGCAGACTGGGAATGCTTCGTGTCTTTTATTCAAGTTATAAGACCTTAGCCAAGTGATTCTAGGCCTAATTCCTTAGTTTCCTTAAGTCAGGACAACAACAACCTACCTTTTGGGATGGGTGCAACCATTAAAATAAATAACATTCAAAAAAGCCTCTAAATTGGTGCCTATTTATTATAATAATAAAATGGGATCATTTCTTTTTAAAATTATTTTTATTAACATATAATGTATTATTTGCCCCAGGGGTACAGGTCTGTGAATCATCAGTCTTACACAATTCACAGCACTCACCATAGCACATACCCTCCCAATGTCCATAAACCAACCACCCCCCAGCAATCCACATTTTTTTTTATGAGATTAAGAGTCTCTTATGGTTTGTCACCCTCCAGATCCCATCTTGTTTCATTTTTTCCTTCCCTACCCCATAACCCCCCGTCCTGCCTCTCAAATTCCTCATATCAGAGAGATCATATGATAATTGTCTTTCTCTGATTGACTTATGTTGCTCAGCATAATACTCTCTAGTTGCATTCACATTATTGGGGATCATTTCTAATAGCTTTCTGTTGACTATAACAAAAGCCGAATTCTTTACTGTGATGTACAAGGTCTTTAGAGCTGGCCTCTGCTCCCACCTCATTCTATGAAGCTCTCTCCTGTCCACTGGGCTATTGTCCTTCTGTCCACTGTGCTATTGCCCTTCTGGCCTTTCTGTTCCTGGATTTCTCCATTTCTGCCCCAGGGCCTTCATTCATGGTGCTTCCTTAGTCTGCCATTCTCTTTCCCCAACTCTTTGCATAGCTAACTCCTCTCCTTTTGAATCTCAAATGAAAGGTCACCTCTTTCAACTGTCTTTGACCACAGAAGTAGATGCCCCACATCTATCACAGAATTCAGTTTACATCATGCAATATAGAGAGATTTGTTTAGGGTCTGTCTTCGCCAGATCAGCCCCACGAGGGCAGGATCTATATGTCTCAGTCATTATATTAAAGGCACTGACAATAGTGTCTGGCATGTAATAGGTGTTCAATAAACATTGCAGAATGAATGAATATGTCAGTCTGTTAAGGTCCTTTTGGTCCTGATTCTGTTACCCAGTCTGTTTCCTTTCATTCTCAGCCTCACATCATTCACTAATTTGACAAATATGCCTCATTTCTAGATCTTTATCTTAGTCACTAATTAACGTGTTTAACAGGAGAGCACATGACTGGAAACCTCTCTGCTACGGGCATCAAATTATCAGCCTCTTTTTGATACAGTTGTTTAACCAATTATAATTCACTTAAATGCCTTTGAATCCAATCATATTTCTTTCTCTTGTTTAGAAAAAAATGTTTTTATACTTGCACACTCAAAAAATCAAATGTGATGTGCAGGTTGAGAAAAAGGTAGCTTAAGAACATTCTGTATAAAACACAATTAGGACTTCTACCTTAAAAAAAAAAAATCCATACAAGTAAACAGTGTAATGTCACCACCAGAAAGAGATACAAAGGCTATAGTAATAGAAGTATAGTATCCGAGAAATGGAGGTTTCAGTTTATACTTTTCTCTAAACTGGACAGAAAATACTTGAAATTCTTTTGTGGATGCCATACTCAAAGAAATGAAACCAGAGGGAAAACACATGATGATGATGAAGCTATTGAAACTACCTTGTATGATGGCCATAAGACCTGGAATCACTAGCATAGATGAGAGAAGATACATAGGGAACATGCTAATTGTTAATCTTCTCTATTTTCAGGGTGGCCATAGAGTAGATGATGCTCAAAGGGTAGAAAAATCAGTGAATAAAGAGAGGAAGATATATCAACTGTCATTAAGAAAGGGCTAGTGGTGCCTGGGTGGCTCAGTCAGTTGTGTCCAACTCTTGATCTCAGCTCAGGTCTTGATATCAGGGTCATGAGTTGAAGCCCTGCATTGGGCTCTATGCTGGGTGTGGAGCCTACCTGAAAGAAAGGAAGGAAGGAAGGAAGGAAGGAAGGAAGAAAGAAAGAAAGAAAGAAAAAGAAAGAAAGAAAGAAAAAAGAAAGAAAGAAAGAAAGAAAGAAAGAAAGAAAGAAAGAAAGAAAGGGTGAGCGAGCAGGCTCACTAAACTGGAAGGTCCAAAGTTGGCATAAGGTGGCTGAGAGGATTTCTAAAAATGTTTAAACATATGGTGGAAGATGGTTGGAACAAATGTCATGAAGGAGAGACAAACATCAGATGTGTGGCAGGCCTAGACACTCCTCTTTCTCCTATCCCCCTGCAATTTTTTAAAAAGATTTTATTTATTTATGTGAGAGCAAAAGTGAGAGAAGCAGCAGGCAGAGAGAGAAGCAGGCTCCCCACTGAGCAGGGAGTCCGATGTGGGACTCAATCTCAGGACTCCGAGATCATGACCTGAGCCGAAGGCAGATGCTCAACTGAGCCACTCAGGTGCCCTCCTCCAACTCCCAAACTTAATAATTGTCTAACTCACTGCATTTATATGCACTAGGTTTTGTTTTGTTCACATTATCCTAGAAAAGTTCTCCTTCTCATTTTCTTTCTACTTCTTTAATTATATTTCTTTATGGTGCTTAAATTAGATTTTTCAATACCTTTGCCACTTCTTCCTCATTTTCATCATGAAGCCTTTCCAGTTCTTCAAGATCTAGGCCAAATTCCTTTTGGTCTAATTTTGCAATATTATCTACTGTTTCATTTTCTTCCATCATAGCCAGAACCTGAATTTTCAAATAAGAAAGAATGATGACAAGTAAAGAATTAAACTTTATAGACTTTTCTGAGTCTCTTTAGACAGCAGTCAGTAAAAAAGAGATGTTTTGTTTATCTGAGTGTAACTATCAAGTAAAGCATTAGATTATGGGCTTATTGTGGTCATTTAAGTTTTCAGATTTAATCCTTAAAAACTCACTAATTCAAAAACAACAACAAAAATGTAAAAATTCATCACTTCATTGAATGAAATTAAGGAATTATTGATATTTAGGTGTGCTGGTGGTATTGTGGTTATGTGTTTTAAGAGTTCTTATTTTGGTGTGCCTGGGTGGCTCAGTCAGTTAAGCATCTGACCCGTGATTTCAGTGCAGGTCTTGATCTCATGGTTGTCAGCTCGCCCCATGTTGGGCTCCGTGCTGGGTGTGGAGCCTACTTAAACAAAAAAAAAGAAAAGAGTTCTTGTCTTTTAGAGGTACAAACTTAACTAAAGATGAAATGATATGATATCTGGGATTTACTTCAAAATGATCAGGAGAAGGGATAGTGGGTAAGGGTATAGATGAAATAATATTGGTCATTGGATTTATTATTTTATTATTCTCTCTCCTTTTATACATATTTGAACATTTCTAAAATAAAAATTATCTTAAAAATTATCTTTAAAAGTTTATAACTTCAGAAAATTTAGGGCCAAAGGATATACATTGTAACATATATGACAAAGTATTATTTTTAATATACATAGAGCTCTTACAAATCAACAAAAAAATTCAGAAAATATACTAGAAAAATTTAGGACTTCAATTTCAAAATGGTTGACTAAGAATGGGCTTTACAATCATCTTTTTCTGCTTCAATCCATAAAATTAAGAGGAAAGACATGTATAATAAATAGATAAATCTATTATTATAATTAAGAGGAAAAAAAGTATCCTTTAGTACCATGGAAACTGTAACATCTCAAAAATGAAAATCAGATGGATCCAAATAATACATGATAGCCCCAAGTGCCCACGAGACAATACTTGAGAAAATGCAGAAGCTACACCAGATATAGGAGCACGGGGTAATCTAGAAGTAACTGGCAGAGTGATTAGTTGGGGGTACTATATCGGAAACAGGGAACAGAACCTGTATGTATCTGCACTGCCACTTGATAAAACTCCCCAGGGGCCCAGCAATGGCAACAGAAGGGTTTGTTGCCAAGTGGAGGGAACTGGACTGAATATCTGGGTGGGAGACAAGGACAACGCAATGACAAGGAGTGTGCCAGTGGCTAGAAGAAATTAGAGAACATCTCCCCCTGCCATAAGATAGGTGGCCGAGCCACTTCCCAACACCACCCACCCCTTCTCATTTGACCAGACCAGAATACCTGCTGAAGTCACACTCCTACACATCTTCCCAAGCAGGTTCAGCTGGTGTGGTGGAATTACAATGGTGTGTGTCAATTTTAAAGATAAGCATAGAACAGTAAAAATAATAATAGACTACTAATATTTGGGGAACAAGAAGACCATTGAAGAGAGACAATAAATTCAATAAACAGAAGACTTGTTACACAAACAAAGAGTTAGTTAAACAGAAGTGGAATTTCACAGTAACTAGGGATGCAAAAATAATTGTATCTCATAAAAAGAATCAAGATATTATAGAACCTAAAAGTTTGATCTTTGAAACAAAAAAAATTCAATAGATGGGCTGAATAGCAGGATGGACACAATTGAAGATAATTAGTGATCTGCAAGAATCAGTTAAGAATTCTGCCAGGTATAAACAAAAAATAAATAAATAGAAAGTGTGAAAGAAAACTGGAGCTACTTGTATGGACATCTTGAAGGACCTATAATAAATGCACTTCAGAAGAAGAGAATAAAGAGAATAGGGGCCACAGTGTTGAAAGAAATAATGAGAGAATTTTCGAAGACATAATACAGCATCAACACTCGAGACCAAAAGGGCATAACCAGTGTGGATCAGGGCCAGGTCTAGACACAGAAATGTTGTGAAACTTAAGAACCAAATCCAAAACATTTCTAAAGGGGAAAAGAATATTGCCAAGTAGAAGAATCTGTCTCATAGAAGACCCACCTTAGCAACACTGGATGCAAAAATACACTAGATCGATAGTTTTGGATCAAATTTTTCAGGGGAAGAAAAACCTTGAATCTGTAATTCTATAGTCATTAAGCCATAGTTCAAGTGCAAGATTGATATAATTTATGGACAGTCAGGGGCTCAGAAAGTTCACCAATACCCATACCTCTGAAAGGATTATTAAGGATGTAGTTAATACAGAGGAGGTTGGGTAGAAAGACTTAAATCCAAATAAGATTGACATGTTTTTAAGAGTCTTAAAAACTAGCAATTTAGGGCTATCATTCCAAATGATGTCATTAAGAGAAGGTGAGGGAAACAGAGGAAGCTGAAAAAGTAAAAAATAATAATAATACACTGAGGGTCTTGTCTTATATGAAGAGTGAATATGGTGTGATACACTCTAAACCAGAGCTTCTCCAAATTTAATGTGCCAAGAATCACCTGAAGGTCTTGTTAAAGAACATATTCTGATTCAGGACATTCAGGATGGGATTAAGATTCCAGGTGACAGTGCTGCTGTGCTCTTCCATTGACTAGGAAGTCACCAGATCACACAGAAAAATAGAAAGTCAAGTATGTGAGTCGGAATTTTAAAGATAGAAATAGAATTACGACTTCCAAAATAGTAAAGAAAAATAGAACAATAATAAAAAAAATGTATGAACAATCCAAGAAGATAGGAAAAGGGGAAAAAGAAATAAGTTTAAAATATGTTAAATAGAAACCCAAAAATAAAATGGCAGGAATAATTTTAAGCATATCACTAATCACAATAAATGTGCCTAAACTCACCTATTAAAAAGCTCAGACATGATTTACAAAACCAATCCAGCTGTATATTAATTACCAGACAAAAGAAAGTTGGAAATAAAGGAATGGAAAAAGGTATATAAGTAAGTGAAATACATAGCAAAAAAATTAATACAGCAAAAAGAAATATAGCAAAAGTTAATATAAAAACCAAAATGTAGATTAAGAACATTAAAAGAGAAAAAGACAGATATTTCATTAGGATAAAAGGAATAATTTATTGAGGAGCTCTCTTGTGCATATTTGGGCATCTACTATAAATATTGATAGAAATACAAGGATAAATTGACACACTGCTAATCAAATCCTAGAAAATAGCAGTTCAAATAGCAGAAACATAAATATAAAGAACTTGACACAATTAGATTGATCTAATAGGAAATTAAAAAACAAAAAACAAAACAAAAAAACCCCCAGAGAATAAAACATTCTTTACAATGCACATGGAATAGTTACAGGGTTACAAAAAGCAACTGGATACAATGCTACAAAGATAATTTCAACAAGTTTTATTTACTGACTACAATGAAATAAATTTCAAAGTTAGCAAAAAAAAAAAGATATGTAAAACAATCTATAATAATATACAAGGCAATCTGAAAAATGGAAACAGATGCATACACTCTTCTAAGAAACCCTTTGTTGATGTGTTCAAAATGGAATTACAAATGTTTACAACTAAGGAAAGATTAGAAAATTAATTATCAAAATCAATGCAATATAGTCAAAGTGGTACTCAAAGGTATATTTATAGCCTCTCACACATTGGAAAACAATAGGAAATAAACCAAGTTCTCAACTCAAAAAAGTAACAAAATGAGGACAAATAAACCTGATGGAACTAGGGAAGAACAAATAAAATTCTCAATTGCTAAAACCCTAAAAGAGTCAAATGTATAGGTATAAAATTATATATAATGTTCTCTTATCATAATAGTCACATCAATAAAAACTGTGCCATAAAAAACACAACTGTGCCATATTAATAAAATAGAAATGCTATTATAAAGTGTGATCAAGAAAAAAGATAAAAGGCATAAATATACAATTAGGAACAGAAAGCTATAACTGAAAAATCAGAAAAGACTTGAGATTAGAATATTATACACATTTATATATTTTAAAATCTAGATGAGACAATTTTCTAAGAAAACATAATATATCAAATCTATACTTCAAAAGAAATAGAAAACCTGACAAGATTAATGACTGTAGAAAACCTTGAAACAAAGAATCAACTCCTGTAACAGAAATCAGGCACAGATGGTTTTATATGTTTGTGTGAGTTTTTGTTTGTTTTTTAATGAAATCTTAAAAAAAGAATTCACACTTCATTTTTTTTAAAGGTTTTATTTATTTATTTGACAGAGAGAGAGATCACAAGTAGGAAGAGAGGCAGGCAGAGAGAGAAGGGGAAGCAGGCTCCCCGCTGAGCAGAGAACTCGGATGGATGCGGGGCTCAATCCCAGGACCCTGAGATCATGACCTGAGCTGAAGGCAAAGGCTTAACCTACTGAGCCACCCAGGCACCCCAAATTCACACTTTATACAAACTGTTCCAAAGCATGGGGAGGGGGAAAAACTACTCAAATCACTTGTTATGACTAGTATAAGCCTGATATCATAATTAGACAAAGAAAGTACAAGAAAACAATATTACTTGTGATAGAGATACAAAAATACTAAACAAAATATTAGCAAACGGGATCTGGTGTAAAATGACCAATGTCTATGGGAGGAATATAGGGTATTTGATAAAGTTTGCACCAAAATTCACAATAAAAACTCCTAAGTAACAAGGGATAGAAAGAAATTTTACTTGTGAAAGGATATCTAACAGATGCTGAGGCAAGTATCACACTTAAAAGTTAGAAACTTTCCCATTAAGTTCGGGAAGAAGATAAGCATGTCCACGCTCATGACCACTATCCTGTTAGAAGCCCTTGGCATAAGACAAGAAAGAAATGAAGCATAAAAATTAATAAGAGACATGATTTCCAGAAGATATGATAGTTTACCTAGATAATCCAAGAGAAACAATTGACAAAAGAGCATAACTAAAAAGAGAATTTAGCAAGGTGATCATATATAAAGA